AAGGATTTGATACCACTGGGTAAGTTGGGGTAACAGCACTGTTAATTACCCTAAGGTCCTGTACCAGGTGATAGGACCCATCAGTCTTGAGTACCAAGAGAATGGGAGTGGGTTAAGTGGGTAGGTTTAAGAAAACCATTGTCTAAAAGCCGCTTAATGATGGGTTTAAGTCCCCTTAAATGTTGGGGGGCTATGGGGTATTGGGGAATGCAGGGAAAAATTGAGGGATCCTTGAGATGGATTAAAACAGGCGTGGCATGTGTAGCCAGAGTGGGATTGGATGTGTCCCAAACCATGGGGTCAACCAGAGAAGGAGGAAGAGGGGAGGATGGCTTTGCGATGCATTGTGAGGCAGTTTGGAGGATTAGGGCTGTGGGGAGAGAGAAAGTAAAGGAAAAATTGAGCTTTTGAAGAAGGTCTCTACCTAAAAGGGGTGTGGGACATGTTGGAATTATTAGGAAGCTATGGGTAAAGAAAAGAGTCTGGAATCTACACGGGATAGGCCCAGTCTGCAAGGGTTGATTTGGCTGGCCATCAGTGCCCACAACAGAAATCAGAGACTTAGTACAAGGTCCTGAAAATTCAGGAAGTACACTATATGTGGCCCCCGTATCCACAAGCAGAGATATTATTTTGCCTGAGACCTCCATTGAGACTCGGGGCTCTGTCAAGGTGACTGGAGTAGGGGCTGTGAGCCCCATCAGTCTTCCGCAGCAAATCCGAGCAGGTCAGTCAGCAATGAATCTGGCATTGACCAAGTCTCCTGTGAGGGTGAGGGATTAGAGGATGGCCTAGTCGCTCGCTGGCGCTTAGGACAATCGCTCTTCCAATGCCCTTCATCTTTGCAGTATGGGCAGGGCCCAGGAGGAATGCCATGGTTGGGGCAGTCTCGTGCCCAATGTCGTTGTTTGTCGCATTTGAAGCATGGTCCAGGCAGGACTCGGGCAGCCACACCTTGTTGTGGATTTTTTGTTTTGGGAGCCCCAAGTGCCACTGCTAAGAGGTCAGACTGATATTTAGCAAACTTTAACCTCTGAGCTTGCTTTTCCTCTTTCTGAAGCTTGTCTCTATTGTTGAAAATACGGAAGGCTAATTTAAGTAGATTTCCTTGTGGAGTTTGAGGGCCATGTTCAACCTTTTATAATTTTGCACGAATATCAGGAGCAGACTGTGAAATAAAATAGGAGTTAATAACAATTATCCCTTCATGAGAGTCTGGGTTTACATTGGTATATTTAATTAAGGTTTCCCGAAGCCGATTTAGAAACACAGCCAGGTTTTCATTAGCCTCCTGGACCTGTTCTAAAAGCTTATTATAATTAGTGTGTTTGTGAGCGATCTTATTAAGGCCCACAATCAGACACTCGATCATCTTATGTAATTTTGTTGAACCTTGACCATTTTGATAGTTCCAGTTAGGTTCTTGGTCTGGCACAGCTACAGGCCCAGGGTCATTGTCAGTAGTATTTGCCCTGTGCCTGCGGTCAGCCTCTTCTCGAGCTGCTTGCCACAGCTGATTTCACTCTTGTGAGCTAAGGGTGGTATTTAAAATCACATAAATATCTTTAAAATGCAAATCATAACAATGGGTGATAAATTCAAATTGCCTGATATAATTCTGTGGGTCACCAAAAAGCTGCCCAATTTATGGGTAATCTGAGACAGATCAGAAAGAGAAAAAGGCACATGAATATTAACGAGGCCTTCAGGGCCAGCTTGCCCCCGATGTGGCAGCAGAGCCTAAGGAGAAGAATGTGGAGGAGCTATTGTGCAGCTATCTGCCCGGTAGACGAGTGTGAGTAATTATCTGAAGAGCGGCTACAGGGTGGCTGCCGCTTACCCTATGAGGAGGGAATACAGGCAGATGGCATTGTGCTGTGTGCCTTGAAACGAGCGCAACAAGGCTGCTGTTGCTGTTCCCAAGAGGAGCCACAAGAGGGCGCCCATTGACCGTGAGACCAGAAAGAACATGGTGGCACCCTGTCACCATGACGGCATGCCACGTGACCCCTCTGAGCATGGCTGCGGCCCATCGCCATAGCTACTATCTGAACCTGGTGGCCCTACATTGCCACGTGGCCCGTCTGAACTTCCAGAACATGGCGGCATCCTGTCACTATAGCAACTAACTGAACATGGTGACATTCCGTCAACACGTGACCCTTCTGAACTTCTAGAACATGGCAGCGGCTCCCCCTCCCCCGTGACCATGGCAACTAACTGAACATGGTGATGCTCCATTGCCACATGACCCGTCTGAACTTCCAGAACATGGCGGCTGTTTACGGCACAAGCTAGAAAAATCACACTGTGTGCCGGAGGGGCACAATGAACGTGACCTAGTGTGGTAGGCGAGCGGTGAGAAGGTATCAGAGGGCAGAGCAGAGCTGCCAGGAGAAGCCTGTATCGAGGAAGGTGGAAGGAGGAGACGATCGCACAGCAGGAGGTACCTGTGACGCATTGGGCCCAGGACTGCTGAGAGAACCCGGCATGGAGGAGGGGAGAGGGATCCGGCGGGAGGTAACAGCAGGGAACGAGTTGGGGAGTAAGCAGACCGCGGCAAACACCAGAGGAACATCCTCAAGCGAATCTTGAGGGCAAGATGGAAAAGTTTGAGCCGCGGTAGAGTTAGCTAAGAGGATCTCAGTGGGAGCATAAGACTTAATGAAGGATTGGTGTGTTCTCAGAACCAAAAGTGCCTCAATGTACGGGAGCTCTATGACTCTGTCTCTGTCTTTTTTTGAGACATGATCTTGCTGTGCAGTTCAGGTTGGCCAGAGGCTCACTTTGTAGCCCAGGCTGGTCTCAAACTTGCAAAGATCCTTCTGCCTCAGCCGCCTGAGTGCTGGGGTTAAAGGAGTACATCATTATGACCGTCCAGTTAGAGGTTTTTAAAGTATACTTTTGTATGTACAAGTTTAATTAAGTCTTTGTCTCTGATGATTGATTCATTGTCAGTTCTCTTTTCCCTTTTCATAGATCCAGTAGAAGGACTCAATATTTCAACCCACTGGGTAATTATAAACAAAATTGACAAAAAAAAATTGCCTTGAAAATTTCACTTTCTAAACATTTCTTAGTCTTTCTGCATGCCAGTTATAAGTTATCCTGAATCTACCAAGCTGATCCAGCCTCTGAGCATGTTATTAACATTTAAGCACAGAATTTTCACTTGAGAGATCTCAGGCATCCTAGACATCACACCACAGCACTGCAAGGTCACCCACATTTAGAGAAGCACAGTTCATAAAGGTTAAATCTTAAGTGCGGTCTCTGTGCCCAGCATGAGATGAATGGACAAAGAATATGTACAAATTATACACAATTTACTACTACTATGCCATGATGAGGGATGAGTTTGAGGTATTTGTTGGAAAATGAATGCATTTTGAGACTATAACATTAAGTGAACTAAATCAGTCAAAAGCTTTTAATGTCTGAAGCATTTAATGGTTTCACTTATGTGAAAACAGTATATAAAGTGCAAAATATAAGAGAGATAGTAGGAAACAAGTTGAAGAGCAAAAAGGAATTTATTATAATCTAGCATGGACAGTGTACCTAAAAGCGTGCCTTGATTTAATATAATTTTCTTGTGAGTTCTTTCATGGAGTTCCCCATTTGCCTGGCTGTTAATCTGCATACATGATAATCAACTTTCTAAGAACTTGTATGAGAAATAAAAAAGAACTAATGCTAACAAAAGGAAAGATCTTGGATGCGAAGGAGAAATAAGTAAGATTCATTTTGTATGCACATGTACCAATTCCTCACAGTAAATGTAAACATTATATACTGCACCTATGTACTAATAAAAATTATAGTTTAAACTCTAAGAAAAAAAAGAGTCTCAGAACCTCTTGGGTCATAATCTCTAGAACACTGCCCAATAATATGGTATGTGTGTCATTTTATTTTCTGTGCCATTACAGGCCTTTGATTCTAGTCACACCAAGTAATTCAGTAATATATATCTAAAATGTCATCACAGGTAGTGTAACATAGCTTCACATTTATAATTTCAATTGAATGGTGTGATTCATCTTCAGAAGGATTCAAATGCAGGGCAGTTGCACATTTTGGAGGGGAGAGGAAATTCTAGGATGCTTAGGATTTATAGTAGAACTGACTGCATGCATTAGTTGAGATGTCTGTGTGCAGAGTTTTTAAAAATATTTATCACTGAGAATAGAGCCACTGGGGCATATACTAAATTGGAATGCTGAAGGAACCAGTGCACTGGAAAAAATGGGCAATTCAATTTGATTTGTTCTTTCTATAAATTTTGTCATTTAAAATGAGTTTTTGGCATCTTTGACTTACCATAACCAAAAATTGTTTCATTGCTTCTAGCCTATGTGCAGTGTGAAGTATTCTTGACTATAACAAGCAACAGTATATTATAAACTGGTATCTCACAGATTGTTTTGTGGGTTTCTTCTTTCTGGGGATGTTACTGATTGCCATAGGGCTCTTATTGTAAAATGTATGCTTTTTCGCTTACAACAGTCAGTACAATTAGATAATAAATGCTATCTATGAAGAGTATATGTAAAGATCATGATTAGCAAAAAAAAAAAGACTTACTTATTTTTTATGACCATAAATTGTGCTGTGTCCCCTTGATGAGTAAGAACCACTTAGCCCATTTGTAAAGCTCAATGTTTCTCTGTGGACAACTGGTTTATAGGGCACAAATGCAAGAGGGATAACCCACCCTGTATGTCATTCAAAAGGAACAATAAGCTTATATACTGGATGGAGTGAAAAGGGAAAATGAAGTCTCCCCATTTTTCTGTGGATGATCTCTGGTATTTGCCAGAGATTTGCCATTTGTTATGGGTCTCATTACTTTAGGCTTCTACATCAGTTCTTCTACCTTTGAAAAAAGAGTCTTCAGCAGAGAAGGAGCTTGAGGGGGAGGAGCCATGCACCAGCTATAATCTCATAGATCATGTATTAATGTCACTCTGACACTCAGACGTGCTTACTAATCCTAGGTATCTCTCAAACCAAGAAACGTGATGATTGAAGTTTAACTGTTAAGGAAAGAACATCACTTTGGAAAAGGTAATATACCTAAGAAGAGAAACTTTAAAACTGTGAGGAGGAAAGAGGATATTGTGGTAAAATTACTGTGCTAAATTCTTAGCTGTGACAGCCTCCTCACAGGGCAGTGATTGAGGGTGCGCTACACTGCAGCTGTCAGTGTGACCAGGAGTCATTAGTTGTTAGAAATTTGGGTTTCTGTAAGTTGCCTCTCTGAAGCACGTGAAAATGTTATTTTCCTTTTGATTACTTTACATTAATACTACTAAAAAATTACAACAGTTTTTTGTTCATTAAATAATTATATTCCCTATTGGCATGCTGTTATTTTCTTTATGAAAAATGATTAGATTGAAAAATAAAGATGAGAAAATCTGTAACATGAACCTAAGTGTCTCATTACTCTTTTTTTTCTTTTTTTTTTTTTTTTTTTTTTTGTACCAGGAATCAAATTCATGACCTCGAGCTTGCCAGGCAGGCTCTTATGCTGCTGAGCTAAATCCCCAGGCCCTCATTAAATTTTCTGCTCTCAGAATACATTAGTACATTGCCTGTAACCCAAATCTTCAGTGGATTCATTGGTATTCTCTATCTTTAAACCTGGAAGTACAGTAGTGGAGCTGTGAGCCCACCAATAAGAACTCCAAATATAAAAAGCCCTCAGAGTGCAGTAAGGAGACACAAGCAGCCAGACCATGCTTAGAGCACATCCTGCTTCACATCAGCACTACAGCAGGCTGGGTCAAGTCAGTGTCCTTGGGAGGAAACCTCGGCTGGCCAGGGATTTTACAGTCTCCCACTTGGGCTTCTCTTGAGCAGGTAGTAAATTGTCTTATTTTCCTTCTGGCTAAGTTAGTAGCACACCAAGCAGCTTTGCATCTGTGAGGAAGAGTTTGGGTGTATGAAAAGTCAAATGAGATATGCAGGCCAGAGAATAAAATCCTCCTTTTCAGGAAGCTAAGACATAAGCTCACAAAGTATTGCTGAGACTCGCATGCTGACTCAGCCTGACTCGTTCTGTAGCTTCCAGGGTAGCATGGGAAGCAGCTGGCAGAGCTCAGTCCCCAAGAGGTGATGGTGTAGGACCAAATGAGCAAACACAGGAGTAAGAGTTGTGTTGGAGACATGGGTTCTTGTTATAAATGAGCAGAATCAGGATTTGGGCTTCAGCACATTGGCTGAGAAATCTTTGTTCTTGTTAACACTCTAGTACACATCAGGTCTTTTCTGGTCCTCAGGATGAAGCTGAGGTTTCGTCAGGAGCTAAGCATCCTGTCCTGTGTGAGACCGTTGACTTTACTGTGGCAGAACCCTGATGTTTCCCGCTGTGTGCCTACAGCCCCACTTTTCTCCACACTGTGCAGTGGGCAAGAGGGTTGAGGGGAGATTCCCAACCTGTGTAAAGTTTCTGTGCGAGTGAGACTGGGCTGTGTTCTGTTATTCTTTCATTCATCAACACATCAAGTATCATAGTTTTGTATCTGCAGTATCCACTAACTGTCTCCTAAGTGTGAAAATTGAATGGTGTATGTGGGCCCTGTCTCTCAGTGGACACATTCACCAATGAGTTCAGTATCAGAATGTGTGGGTGGGATGGGGAGTTGGCGATTGGTTACTAGGGTCCTGGAACAGTGTACTCTTCTCTGTCTTAGTCTCTTCTTTCTGGCTGCCGTCATTGTTTTGAGTTCCTTTTCCTCCACTCCCACTTTGCCATGCCATTGCAAACTTGGAACAAGGAGAACAGGAACTGAAAAAATTAGTCAATATAATCCCTGGTTCTTTAAGTTGAGATTGCTGAATATTTTTCCTAGTTACAATAAAGTGGCTAAGGCATCTAATTATGCTAAATTTCTAAAAGTTGGAATATGAGATCTCAAACACAAGTTGTTTTCTGCTCTCTGGGCATTATTTTTAAGGTGGTATAATTCCAAAATTACCAAACACTTCCACATAATCTTAAAGTCATTAAAAGGTGTTTAAAAACCACACAAAGGCCTGGGGATTTAGCTCAGTGGCGTAAGTGCCTACTTGGTAAGCATAAGATTGTGAGTTCAATTCTCTGTACCACTAAATAAATATCACACAAAACTTACAAAATGCTGTTTAGCGTTGTCTGTACTAAATATCATTACTGGAGTCCTTGCCAACCATACTAAAGCTCCTTTGTTACACAATGACTAGTAAATAAGCTGTTATAGTTTGTAATACCAGAAATTAGATGATATGTTTTCAATTTAAATAAGGGAAGATAAATGTAATGCCATGAAGGACAATTCACAGGGGATTGCCTTTCAAACACACCTTTTAAAACCCCTTAGAGTAAGGTACTCAGATATGCACATAATTCATCTTTTAGTGCAGAAAGAAAAATACTATTGCTCACACAATTTCTGTAGTTCATTGATAGTGCATAAACTGTGTCCACAAAGGACAAACTGAATGAGGTAAGCACTTTGGTGATAAACAGTATTGGATTAGGGCAAAACATCAGGTGTACCTATGCATACCTGTCAGTGGGAGGCACAAACAAGTTTTCTGTGTCAGAAGGGACAAGGAGGAACACATAGCATGTGGGAAAGCAGGGGATGAAAGAAGACAGAACAATCAGCTCCTGAACCAGGAATTTTCCCTTAGGATGTCTTACTGGATACTGAACCTCGCACTTTTATTCTGTGTCACAGCTAGCCTTTTATGTGGTTGGTTTTATTGTTTTGAATTTTCATAGTGGGCCTGAGCTGGAGCTCAGGCCAAGCTGGGCATTGATTTCCTCTAGCCGTCTAGAATGGCATGATCATAAATGAAGATCACCAAGTAGAACTATAAAGGAGGATCACAGTTAAATTCAACCTCATCAGTTATTCCTTTTAATATCAAGAATGTTGGAAATGTCCATTGACAATGTGTGAGAGTCATTCTGAAAGACTTCCTTGGAAACATGATACCCTAGACAACTATCTGCGAATATGACATTAATTTCATATGTGGTAAATTTTTTTAAGTGAAATTGTCCCTGTATTCTGGAGGAGAAAATCTAAGGCTATCATTTCCTTTTGTTTTTTTTTTTTTTTTTTTGAGATAGTAAAATACAGCAGAACACGGCAGAACTAAGTCAATAAGGCTTTGCAATATAGGAATGCTCTCTTTATCATAAGCCAGTTTGAGGCAATATATTAATTTCTATTAACGGAGTAACTCAATGTGCCACATTTTGAGAACTTCAGAATGATGACTTATAATGAAAAACATCACATGCCTTGAACACCAATCTTCATTTCAGTAAGTATACAAGGACTGTGCTATAAATTTGTCAAAATTCATTTGGAGTGGTGCATTGATTTTGGGAATACCAGTTTTTAATGTAGAATTGGTTCAGCAATCAAAGGAATTAGCAAACAATATACACATAAGTTCAAAAGAAAAGTTGGGAAAAGTCACTGGTCAAATTTCAACTGATTGTGCATGTTTATCTCTGTTTGGTACTGAGATCGTGGACAAAATGCCTTTCTTTCTGGAGATCCATTTGCCATTTCCTCTACTAACTGCAGATTGTAACAAAAGCTGTAACATGAATGTGTTTTATGTAAAGTATGCAAGCTATTACTTGGCTCATGTGTTGAATGTCAGTCTTCTGTAACACTGCACAGTTGTATTTTTTTTTAAATAGAGCAAAGGAATGAATTGTAAGTAACACAATATTTTCTGAAAGTTTTCCTTTTGTGGAGGTTGCCTGACAAAGTCTCAATTTGAAATCTTGATAGGTTTCAAAGTCACCTTATGCTGGACTTTGATCTGGCAATCATCATACTCATGAAAATCCTACTACATCAGCCTCAAAAGTGCTGGGATTACAGGCGTGTTACAGCACATCTTGCTGAAGTTTTCCTTTTGTAATTAATGCCTAATCATTGTGTGATATCTTCATTTTAATGCATTTAATGTATTTTATCCATATCCTTCCCCTCGCTAATCTCACTGAGAAAATCCTAGGATTTCTTATATCTGAGTGCAAGGTGATCATTTGGTGTCACTGAACTATAAGATACTATTCCAACCAGACCCCTATTTCATAGACTCGCTCAAAAATACTATTTTTGCATTAGCATTTTAATATTACTCATGAAGCTTCTTTCTTCTCTTTTTTATTGGTATATTTTAGATGCACACATTGGAAGCATTCATCTTGGGAGTTTGTGCCTCTTCACAGTGTATCTTGCTGCTCCTTTTCTTCTGCTCTCCTCCTTCCCTTCAGACCCTCTTTCTGTCTTTATTTTCTTTTTGTCCTTCTACTCTTTTTTTTCATATCCCTTTTATCTTGCACCCTTTTATTGTTCTCCTACTCATTTAAACATTTTCTTCTACAATTCCTCAAAACACAAAAAACTAGAAAATCGATTTGACCCAGTTATTCCCTTTATTGATCTCTCCCCAAAAGAATTGAAAGTATCATACCTCAATGCTATTTACGTATTTATAATGCTATTTATACTGGCACATTTTGTAATAGCTAGATCTTGAAAACAATCCAAATGTCCACCAGCTTGTGAATGGATAGAGAAGATGTTATTTTTTTTAAATATATAAACAATGGAGTATTACTTTGCCATAAAGAAGTATAAGTTTGAGACATTTCTAGGAAAATGAGTGGACCTTGAGGTCACATTCTCAGTGAAATAAATAGGATACACATGTCAATATCACATGGTTTCACTGCTGTGAAAAATGAAAAATATAAATAAGGAACAAAATGCACATCCTTTATTTAATGTTCAATTATTTGTTTCTTAAAGATTCACATTTCAAAATACTGCTTATGTGCAATACAACAAAGAATGATGTAATTTTCTGAATAATCAGATTTGAAAAGAAGTACAATCTATGGTCTGTCACAGCCCTTCATTAAATATTTTTCTTCCTCATTTTAGGAGAAATCACAATTTGCAGGCTGCCTCTATGAGCTCTGCTTTAGAAATAGTGCACAGACACTTTCTGTGACCCTACCAATCTACCAGTGCCACTATTCTGCTGTTGGTGTAGCAGACAGAAACAAACTAGCATCAGAATTCTGTGAGGAACGACATGCATACACATGGGTTTGGTGACAAAGACATGACATTTATATTTGAAGGAAAAGCTTCAATTCAGATTTTACAAGAGGAGTTAAAGTTCTTAAAGTGTGAGTATGAACCTTCTTCAGGAAATATGTATGTGATTCTTTAGGAGGCAGTGAGCTTGGAGGATGTAACCGTGAACTTCACCAAGGAGGAATGGGCTCTGCTGAATCCATCCCAGAAGAAGCTCTACAGAGATGTGATGAGGGAAACATTGATGAATATAAATGCTGTAGGTAAGGATGACATCAGTTTTTCATATATATAAAGAGAGAGCACTGGTCCATGTTGATGGGTACAGATTCACTAAATAAAACGTAAAACCATTTTGAATATTTCAGTATTTACATTTTGCCATATATGTAACAGTTAACTGCTAGTTTTTAAATAATGATACGGTGACCTTTTGTTTTTCCATGGCTACAATTCAGGAAGGAGTTGGGACTGCCAGCAAATTGAAGAAGAATACAAGAATTACTCAAGAAATCTAAGGTAATTTGTGTTCAAAAGGAAAAGCACTACTAAAGATTCAGAGTTTGAGCAGGAATATTACATGGAAACTACAAATCAGGCCATGTTCGAATTTAATCTCACAGTTTCCCAATTTGCATACTGGTTGATGTTGAATACTAAGTTATTAGTGACATGCAACAAGAGACACTATCTCATGTTAGTATTAAAAGATTCTTTCATAATCAACATGAAAATGTGTGAAGTTGCATTTAGGTATTATGCATAGACATGAAAATGGTAAGTCTTGAACTTTGACAGGAACTCATCTTCAATTTGTTTTGTGTGTGTATATATATATATGCACATGCATCTAAAAGCAACATTAAAAATGCACATGAATGCTAGTGTTAATAGATGTTTGAAAACATATTCCAGAGAATTGTGCTGCATTCATTCATTTTTTTTTTTTTTCTCTTTCTCTTTTTATCGGTACTGGGGATCAAACTCATGACCACTTGCAAGGCAGGCGCTATGCCACTGAGCTAAATCCTCAGCCCCCTGCATTCATATTTTAAAATTCTTAGAATGCACCATGATACATTATAAAAATATAAAAAGAACTATATTTATATTCAATGTACAAATATCCCAATAAAATGAAAGTTTGTATTTCATCCAGGCAAAATTCCCTATGTATATTTTGAAAGGATTTAAAAGTATCTTGGTGATACATATGTACTTATGCTCAAAGCAGAGTAAGGATGGGTATTCACAGTATCTAAGTTATGGAAATAATTCACAATACCTAAGTCCTGGTAGCAGCCTAAATGTTTGTCAATCATCATATGAGTAGAACAGGAGAACATGGGATAGGCTTGACATGGTGGTGCTTCTTATAAGCCCAACACTCGGGGAAGCTGAGGCAGGAGGGTGACAACTTGAATTTCACCCTGCTCAAGTTAATAGTGAGAATTTCTCTCAAAATAAGAACTTAAAAAAAAGAACCAGAAATGTATTTTATTCATCAGAGTCTTTCTATTTCTGAGAACTGAAAAAACATGTGTTATATGTATTGAGCCAATAAAGAAGAATATCCTATCTTTTGGTTAAAAAAAAAAATGAAAGATGGGACTTCACCTCATAATGTTAAATGAAATAAGTCAGACACAGAAAGTGAATTTTCAATGTTCTATATGGTATATTAAAAAATAAATGATGAAATAAAATTAAGAAGTGATAAAATGGGAGAGTGAAGGAGAAAAGTGTAAAAAAAGATCAGTAGGTGATACACCTGTATCAGTGACTTAAATGAAAATTGACCTTGTGTATTGCAAACATAAACCAATTTAAATTTCTTAAATGAATACCATCCTTCAGAAAATGGGCATTTAAGGGTCCTCAGGGCATTCTGCCTGTTCATTCTCAAAATTCCTTAGAAGGCATCAAACAAGAACTTGTCCTGGTAAATTATTAATGTGGAGACCTTTTTTATTGTGATTAATACTGTGTTTGTTCACAGAAAAGAAGAGATACCAAAATGCTATCAGTTCAAAATTTGCAATTCACATGAGAACATATTCCTTTTGACTCCAGATGCTAATGTGGACATGCAGCAAGCTGCTTTAAGGACAGTAAGAAGCCTTGATCCTACAGAGTCCTTGATTGGGCATTTATCACTAAATGTGCCCAGTTTACATCACACGGGAGAGAAGCTACTTGAGTATTTGAAATTTGATGTCAAACTGAGTAAATGTAATGAATATGGAAAACCCTGCAGAGATTTCCAGTCCTTTCAGAAGCATAAAGAGACAAAGACTAGAGAGAAACACCATCAATATGAGCAAATTACAAAATTTTGTTCTGAACTTAGTGAAAAAACTCACACTGCAGGGAAGTCTACTATTGATAAGAAAAGCATGAAAGCCTCCAGCATTCCCAGTGGTTTTCAAATCCATGAAAGAATTCACACTTGTAAGAAACCATATTTATGCAAGCAATATGAAAAAACATTCAATACTCAAACTCATAAAATTTATGAAGGGATTCACATGGAGAAGAAACCCTACGTATGTAAGCAATGTGGCAAGTCATTCAGTAGATACACTCAGTGTCAAAACCATGAAAGTACTCACAAAGGGAAGAAACATGTATGTAAACAGTGTGGCAAAGCTTTCACCAGACGCAATTATTGTCAAATACATGAGAAAAATCACACTGGGGAGAAATCGTACATGTGCAAGCAATGTGGAAAAGCATTCACTCTAAGGAGCAGTTTTAAAAGGCATGAAAGAAATCACACTGGTGAGAGACATGTTTGTAAGCAATGTGGAAAAGCATTCACTACAAAGTACTATTATAAACTACATGAAAACTTTCACACAGGAGAGAAACCTTACGTGTGCAAACACTGTGGGATGGCATTTACTACACATCATTCTTGTCAAAGACATGAAAGAACTCACACTGGGGAGAAACCTTATGTGTGCAGACAGTGTGGGAAGGCATTCAGTAAACCAAAATCCTGTCAAATACATGAAAGAAGTCATGCAGACAAGAAGCCATATGCATGTGAGCCATGTGGAAAAAGATTTTCCAGTAAGTCCTCCTTTTATACACATAGATCCCACACTGGGAAGGAACCCTATGTATATAAACAGTGTGGGAGAAGCATTAAATGAACACATTTTTATAAAACATTTGATAAAAATCACTGGAGAGTGACCCTATGTAGGTTAAGTGTATTGTGGAAACGGGAAGATTTCTCTTTTTTTTTTTTTTGTCTTTCTCCTTTTTATCGGTACCGGGGATCGAACTTCAAACTCACGACAGCCTGCTTGTAAGGCAGGCGCTTATGACACTGAGCTAAATCCCCAGCCCCTAGGAAAATTTCTCTTATTTTGGAGAGTATACACCTATAAATGAAAAATTTGATGCCAGCATTGTTTTCATGGGTTTTCCAGAAAATATACTCCCAGGTGGAGATCTCCTACAATGTATTCGTTCATGTTTTTCAGTAAATCATTTATAAATCACTGAACTATGTATGTGTAGTCTTTACTAGAAAAAATATTGACATATTGTTATGTAAGCCATTGTCTTTGAACTTAATATATGCCGTCTTCTAATAAAACAAGATGAATTAAAATGTATTTCTTACTTCCAAGTAGGGTGTTTATGTAGTTTTGGTTTTGTTTTCACTGTGGGGAAGTATAAGCTGCTAAAAAAATTAATGCTAGTTTTTTATTTATATATGTATGTATTTATTTATTTATTTATCTTGAGACAGGCTGTCTATGCAGTTCAGGCTGGCCTTGAGCTCACTTTGTAGCCCAGGGTTGTCTTGAACTTGCCACAATCTGCCTGCCTCAACCTCCTGAGTGTTGGGATTACAGGTGTGAGCCACCACACCCGGCTAACTCACTAGGCTTTTAACTGTGATAACCCACTATCTTTGATTGTAAGTTATTTGGTATAAATACTTCATATTCTGTATATAAATAGATAACTTTGAATTTGATGTTGTATATATAAGTCCATGCATATTTAGAGATGTGAGCATGTGTTTTTTTAAAAAGCCATTCATTTACACACAACTTGTAGATTTGAAAGTTTTGATTTTTATATCCTAATTAGATAACCACATATATCTCAACATAATTATATAAAGCACATAATTTCACCTATTGAGCTTTCTTGTTGAAGTCAATATAATGATTTATATAACATTTTGATTTCTCACCATCAACTTTTTACTCTTCATGCTTATGTTTTTATGACTTTTAATTTGGTGGTAATTTATTCTGAAGCTTAAACCATACTGTTGTTTCTGTTTGTGACACATCAGATGGACCATGCCTTGTCAGTCAGTGTTTACAGGCTTAAATGTGAGACATATATAAGCATTTACAAGATTGGCTTCCAGTGTCTGCACACATGCTCACATATGGAAGAGCACAGGTCTCTCTGTGTACTGGATATCCAAAAAAGTCCATTTCACTGTCTGGATGCCACTGTATTATCCCGTGCAAGTCTGTGCTGGAAGACTGAATAACCGGTGCTGGAGGCTGAAGAGTCTGCTGGAAGCCAGGAGATGGCTTCCAATGTGAAAGTGAAAGCTAGAAACGCATGGAAGGCTTCTTTCTTTGTTTCTTTTTTCTTTTTCTTTTTCTTTTTTTTTTTTTTTTTTTTTGTACCAGGTACGGAACTCATGACCTTACACTTGGCCAGGCGAGTGCTTACACCACTGAGCTAAATCCCTGGCCCTTTTGTTTCTTTCTTTCTTATTTTTTAATAACATTCTGGAAATTCCTTTCTAGGGTAGGTTTTCCACATCCATACTTTGCTGGGCAAATGTAGTTGCGCATGTAGTACTCAGCTTGACATGATCCGTTAACTGTCGTTGTCCACCCCTGCATCTTCACAACTACACGTTGCTTTAAGCCAGTCTTCAGATACAAGGATGAGTTCATAAATATACCCAACATACTATAATTCCCCTGTATATAAATGGAAATGCACTAACTTCCCTGCCAGGCAGAGAAGTTTGCTTTGTGTCATTCCTGACATTTCACACCAGGAATACTATCACACGTTTAAGAATTAACAAATATTAAGTCAATCAACTTTTTTTTCATTGGAAGGATATTAGGAATAAAATATTACAATCCTCATTTCTGTAGCTGATCATAGAATCACAGCTTGTATTTAGAACTACTTGTAAGGCTTATTCTGTGACCCCTCCATCCATCCAGAGGGCCCTAGACTGGTCTGTGAGAGCACAGATAACCCCTTTCTCCATTCAGAGAGCCCAGTAAGCCTGAGACACCTCAAGTGACACCGAAGAGGTGAAGATGACAGGACAAAAATGGCAGAATGCAATCTTAGACCTCCAGTCTACCCAGAATATGTACAGAAGCCATCAACACAGAAAAATATAAAAGACACCTGAAATTTCTGAAAAGATAGCAAGTGAAGTAAACAATTTCATGAGGCTATAGAGGAAAACATCAGAAATAATCTCAGGTTTTAAAAAGTGAAGGAATTTCTCAGTATAGCTAGAGAAGACATGGATAGAAAATGCAGGAGCATAGGAAAGTAATGGAAGTGGCTAACCACCACTTATGGATGGCTCTGAATGTTACATAAGCACCACCTGCAAGTTCTGCACATTACAACCACTTGGCAGGACACCAATTTTTGACACTAGTGAAAAGAAATATCCACAATGGACCATATTTTGCGCAGTGTGTCTGGTAGTACCTTCTGCCTTGGAGGAAAAATGGCCAGATATGCAATTGTATACCAGAAACAGTTGGATTGATAGAAAGTTGGTATGATCTTTTGAGTACACATTTGCAGCACCAGTTATGTAGCAATAATTTATAGGACTTGGGCAAAGTTCTTCAAAAGGCAATGTATAGGCTTTGAGTGTGCATCCACTATGTTGCTGTTTCTCCCATAGCCAGAATTCAAGGGTCCAGGAATGAAGGGTTGGAAGTAAGAGTGGTACCACTCACTGTTACCAATAATGATGTGTTAGCACCCTGCTCTCATGACCTTATGTTCATCTGGTTTTGAAAGAAGTCTTGGTTCCATAGAGGGGAAAGTTTATACCAGGAAGCACAGTGATACATGTGAACTGAAAGTCACGACTTTCCCTTGCCCGTTTTGGTCTCCTAGGACCCTCAGGAAAGAAATGAAAAAGGCAGTTCAAGTGTTTAGAAAGATGACTGATCCAGACTGTCAAGGGAAAATTAGACTATTTCTGCACAATGGAGGAAAGAAACAATATACGTGGAGTGCAGGATATCTGAGAGTGTCACCGTGTATTATGATGCTGTTATTAAAGTCAGTGGGAAACCATGAAAATCCATTCCAGAATGCAAGAAAAGAGTTGAAGGAGGGAAAATAACAATACCTGATGTAAAATAACAATACTTGCTGAAAGCCAAGGAATACAGAATGGGTCTTTTTAAAAAAGACAATAAAAGTGATGATGAATTGCAAAACAACAGATATTTAACAATGGCTATTATATTGCATATGTTTATCTTCAAAGCAGTTGCTCAGAATAAAGGTGAAAAATTGTTCACACAATGAAAGCACAAACCATTCTTTGTGATGAAGTAATAGAGATTAGAAGTATAATTGTCTATCATAACTCATGATGGTGACAATATAAGAAAATTTTAAAAACTATTGTAAGATTATAAAATAAGGAGTGTGCCCTGTGAATCAGTGTTATGCATGGGCTGCTGGGGGAATGGCCAGACCCAGCCTTTTCCTGTGAGTCAGCACCATTCACAGTCTGCAGGGAAAGAGAAGAAATCACCAAGAAGCAAGCCCTCCCTGCAAATCAGCGCCATGTGTGAGCCACTGGGGGCACAGCCAGATGCCAGCCCATTCTGGTGGGCGGGCTGGGAAACAAGAAAAGCCAACTCCCTATATCCCACTATAAGCAATCAGCTGATTGGAAGAAATGCAGGCTGCAATGATGGCTATTGAGGTAGAATATAATTTAATGTTGGTGGGGCTGGGGATTTAGCTCAGCGGCATAAGCGCCTGCCTTGCAAGCAGGCAGTCGTGAGTTCCACCCCTGGTACCGATAAAAACGAAAAAGACAAAAAAAAAAATTAAATTAAAATAATGTTTGTAGTGTAGTGTTTCACTGACTTTGCAGGTCTAAAGCTGGTAGCCTGATCATCTGTTCAGTAATATGCAGTGTAGCTTCTACGGGAGAGATCTCCTTCTAAAGGTGGTAGCCATTGTTAATTTCCTATTATCTTGTTCTGAAGCCCTGTATCGTTTTCATTGTTTTGTTGAGTTGGGTTTTATTCTGTTTTGTTGTTTAATTTTGTTATATCTGATGACATGGGCAGCTATTTTAAAGATAATAAGATATATTATTGTAGCCATTGGAACGCTTGCTTTTCTTTCCTCTTTACTCTTTTGCAAAATATTTCTCTCATTGAAATTTTATTTCTTCATTTACATAATACTTGTATTCCTTTTAGGGGCCATATTTATTTGCATGGATGAAAATGAGTAAATTGACAATGTAAAAGTCTTGGCAACAAATTTGACCGCCTCATTCCTAACACTAGGGCCTTCCTCCATTCCATTTTATCCTGATGTGGCCCGACCTGGCATCATGATGTTTTCAGACGTCAGAGGATTGATTCTTCTATAAGACATTCACTCTGGAGCATTCTGAGCACATTTGCGACACATTTTCTTTAAGAAGCCACTGGGTGGATTAAGAAAACAAGTTTAGCTCTGAAAAGCCAGAAGCAAAGCCCTTAAATGAAGCATTCCTCAGGTGAGATGAGATTTGCATCGCAGGACAGGGACTGGTATAGAATTTCCTGAGCTACAAACTATCTGCGAAGTACACCTCTGTTATTTCTCCCCTCACATTCAGCCCGGTTGGCAAAGAGCAGGAGCCAATCAGCGGTGAAGGCGGGCTGACTGAACTAGCCAATCAGGTGAGTCCAGGGAGGAGGGCACTTCCTGTGTCATGGCGTCGCAGTGGACGCTGTGTTTCAGAGATCCCCTTAGCTAACTAGGTCATTTTTTTTCTGTGATTTCTACTGCGTGCGAGCTGCATTCACAGGATCCCAGGAGACTCTCAAGCCACACAATGGTGACATTGTGGGACGGGAGCGGGGATGGGATGGAATCGGTTGCGTTTTGAATGGAAGTGGTCAGAACAGCTAAAATGATCCTTAGTGTTTAGCTCCAGTCGCCAGGTTTTTCTGTGTTTTGGTGCTGTATCATCGTTTTTAACATTTGCCTTTGCTCAGACAAGGACAGTTCTGGGAGCGTAGCATACTGTAACACAGATTTTTTTTTTGTTATTGTTGAGGCATTGTTTCACTATATAGCTCAGGCTCGCACTGGACTCGCAGTCCTCCGGCCTCAGCCCCCCAACTGCTAGATTTAAAGGCGTGCGCCACCACACCCAGCCAACCCAGAATACCACTTAGGTCGTCCCCAGGCACACCTGTATCTCCACAGCTCTGCAGATAGCAGGAGCTTCGTCAAAACTTCGGGTTTCATCCTCAGCAACGAAAAATATTATCACTATAACGTTTTACTTGAGATCTCTACTTGCAGTTGCGTTAGTGCATGAACAGATCTCGTGGTTTCACAACATTGAAGAATGATGTCGTGAACCAAAAGAAGAATGTTAGGGGAGATTTTATTGGAAATAAGAATAGTGCCCTGGTTTTTGCAAGTGCTCTGAGTCGCCGTGTAGCCCTGCAATCCAGAACCAATTATACTATGCTCTGATAAGCAGAGCATAGTAAATAAAAACTCAGTTTAGTGGGGACTTATCACAGATGCCTCTGGATTTAAAATAACCGCTTTGAACTCGAGCTCTCTAATCCATTTCGTCAGCCTGCACTGTTAAAATGAAACATTTTAGAGAAGCACTGGTTATTTTGTACTTTAAAACCTGGAAATTCAGCAGCTTAGTAGGGAGAGACTGCAGCTTCTTTTAGTAGAGAGATGGTTTCATTTCTTGGAGAAAAAATGGCCAAGTGTGCAGTTGTGTACTATAACAGACTGCCGCGTGATGGAAACAGGAATCTCGTGTGCAGATGATTTGGAGGTTTTTGCTTTACTGATATCCCCGGCATTTCTCAAGGTAGTCAGGCTGATCATATGGCAGAACTTAGCTTTTGTGAAACTACTGGGTGGAGGAGGGAGGCTCTCGAACTGAGGTGGGAAAATTCTTAAACCGAGAGTTTGCTGTGTTAAATGCTTAAGTGATGCTAACTCATCATAAGGAAGTAATTGAAGGTGGTGCAGCTTTTTATCAGTCATTCTGGTCCAGCTGGTGAAGAATGAGATCAGTGGTTCAGAATTTAGGTTTTTGCATTCCTAGGTGAAGTAGGTTGTCTTTCTGAGACAGTAGAAATGTTTGTTTCTTTCATCTTGATTCACTTTTGATAATACTGTTAAAGCATATGCATCATGAGAAGGAAGGCTGGTTCTTTGTAAATTGTCCAGTCAGGCATGCTGTCCAGAATGAGGACTCTTCCTCTGCCAGGAACCCAAGTCAAAAGCTTCCAGTGTGCTGGTGAAAGGCGGCCTGGCTAGCACACATTGACTGCTCTGTGAGATCACTGACTGCAGGTTATGGAAAGGGCCTTGGGAGACCCCCATTCTTGGATATGGTGACCTGTAGGGACCAATGACCTCAGGAAGAACTGGGGCTTTGTGAAAACATAGACTCAATTGGTTGTAAATAGAACTAGCTTGGAAGGACCTTGACCAATTTGCATCAACCATTAACCCTTGTACCTGTATGTTAGCTGCTCCTTCTCTGCCCTTGTTTTTTTCCGGTTTCAGGGTGAGGTCCAGAAACTTCTAGGCCATCAGTGTCCTATACTCTGCAAATGAGGTGACTTAAGCATTTTCAAAGTACTGTCATGGGCAGCTTAGCACTGGCTGGATCACTTCTCATCATAGCGTACACTGTCAACTGCACAGTATTGGTGGATCTGCTGACTCGTGTGATGTTTGTGTTTGTGGCACCGTGCTGCCTTGTGTCCTCTGTCTCTTTTTCCATTCCTTGGTTGAAGGGCATTTGAGTTGTTTCCAAGATTTAGCATTACAAATAGTACAACTATAAACATGGGTACACATATATCAGTTTGGCATGATTTTCAATTCTTCAGGGAACATGCTCAGAATGGGAATAGCTGGGTTGATTGCAACCTCTAATCCTAGTTTTTTTGAGAAATCGCATTATTGATTTACACAGTGGTTAGATCAGTCTCGACTCCCACCAGCAATGGAGAAGGGTCCCTTTATCCCCACAACCCCACCAACATTTGTTATTGGTTGATGATAATCATTCTTTTTGGAGTGAGCTGTTGCATGTTCTAGATAGAAGTCCTTTGTCTGAAAGACAGTTGGCTAAATTTTTTTTTCAGCTCATGGGTTTTCTTTTACTCTGTTGATGATTTCAAGTGCAAAATCTTTTTAATAGATGAGATCCATTTATTTATTCTTTGAAGTATGTCCCATGCATTTTGGGTTTTGTTCAACTGTCTTCCTACCCCTATATCTATCTTCAAGATTTCTAAGTACCTTTTCATCTAATAGATTTAGTGTTTCTGTTTTAATATTTAGATCTTTGATCCATTTTGACTTTAGTTTAGTGCATGATGATAGACATGGGTCTAGTTTTAGTCTTTGGTCTTTCCAGCACCATTATTAAAGAGGCTGTCTTGGGGCTGGGGATTTAGCTCAGTGGCATAAGCACCTGCCTTGCAAGCAGGCGGTCATGAGTTCAATCCCCAGTACCGATAAAAATGAAAAAGACAAAAAAAAAAATTTTTTTTAAAAATAAAGAGGCTGTCTTTCTTCCAATGAACATGTTTGGCCCTTTGTCAAAGATAAGATGGCTGAGTATGTTTACAGTTGTGACTATTTTTTATTCTGTTCCATTGATCTCGAGGTCTGTGGTTTTTATTTTGTTTTGTTTTGTCAATATCACACTGATTTTACACAGTACCTTTATATAGTATAGTCTTTTTTTTTTAGAGATGAAATTTTATGGTTATTTATTATCACTCCATAAGTAATTAAAGATGACCGAAATTGCTAGTGCTTACAAATAAGCCATTTTGGAAAATGCATCCCATGTGAACTGTCAAAAAACAAAAACAGTTACACATCTTTCACAAAGTGAAACATCTCTCCTTGATCATATATAGTATAGTTTGAAGTCAGGAATTGTGATGCCTCCTGCTTTGCCTTTGTTGCCCAGAACTGCCTCTGCTATTCTCGGTCTCTTCTGATTCCAGATGAATTTTAAGAATGTTTCCTCTAGATCTGTGAGGTATGCTAATGGCATTTTGATTGGGACAGCCTTAAATCTGTGTAACAATTTTGAGAGTATGGCTATTTTCACAAAATCGGTTCTTCCTATCCATGAACAAGGGATATCTTTTTATTTTTTTTTTTTTTTGTTTGTTTGTTTTTGTTTTGGTCTTTTTCCTTTTTATCGGTACCGGGGATCGAACTCACGACTGCCTGCTTGCAAGGCAGGCACTTATGCCGCTGAGCTAAATCTCCAGCCCCAAACAAGGGATATCTTACCATTTGCTGAAATCCTTTTCAGTTTCTTTCTTCAAAGTACTATAATTTTCAATGTATAGATCTTTTACTGATTCATAAATATTTCAGTTTTTGGCATGCTATTGTAAAGGGCATGGTTTCTTTCTTGGTGAGTTTCTTGTTTCTGTGTAGGAATGCTATTGATTTTGGGGTGTTTCTAGCTATGCTATGGAATTTGATTATTATATCTAGAAGTCTTTTCAGTGGATTTTTTGGGGTCTTTTATGTAGAGTATCATGTCATGTGCTAATAATAGTTAAACTTCTTCCTTTCCTATCTTTGTTTCTTTTATTTCTCTTTCTTGTCTAATTACTCTGTCTAAATGTTTCCAGAACTGTATTAAATAGGAGTAGTGAGAGTGGGCATCTTTGTCTTGTTCCTACCTTTAGGTTGAAAGCTTTCAGTTTTTGTCCATTTAGTAAGATGTTAACTGTTAGTTTGTGATATATGACCTTAATCAGGTTGAGATAAAGACTATTCTGAATTTCTGTAGGGCTTTTTAAATCATGAATGAGTGTTCGACTTTATCAAAAGCTTTTTCTGCATCTGTTGAGATGATCATATGATTCTTGTATTGGTCTCTGTTGATGTGTATTACATTTATTAATTTGTGTATGTTGAAACATCCCTTCATTCCTGGGATGAATCCCACTTGGTCATATTATATAATCTTACTGACTATTTGCTACATTCTGTTTGCTAGTATTTTATTGAGGATTTTGTCATCTGTGTTCATTAGGGAGACTGGCCTGTAGTTTTCTTTTTGGGTTGGGTCTTCCTCTGGTTTTGGTGTCATGATAATACTTGCCACCAGGAATGCTTTAATTTCATTATAGAGTTTGAGGAGTGTTGGTGTTGTCTTCTCTCAGTTTCTTGTAGAATGTAGCTGTGAATCCATCAGAACCTAGGCCGTTGTTTGTTGTTAAGTTTCTAACTGCATTTTCAATTTTATTAACTGATATTGGGTAATTCAGAATTTTATATGTTTCTAGGAATCTGCCCTTTTTTTTTTTTTTTTTTTGTCTTTTTCATTTTTACCCGTACCGGGGATCGAACTCACGACTGCCTGCTTGTAAGGCAGGCACTTATGCCGCTGAGCTAAATCCCTAGCCCCATTCTGCCCATTTCTTCTGTTTTTCATCCTATGAGAGTATAGACTTTCAAAGTAAGTATTGATGATCTTCTGTTTCACAGGATTTGTAGTAATTTCATTCTTTTCACTTTCTGTTGCATGAATATGCGGGTTTTTTCCTCTTTGATAAGGTTGAGTATGGGTTTATCCATTTTATTTAATCTTTCAAAGAACCAGCTCTTCCATTCATTAATTCTTTGTATTGTTTTCTTAGTATCCATTGCATTAATTTCTGCTCTGATCTTTACAATTTCCTCTCTTCTTTGGGATTACCTTGCTCTTCTTTTTCTTTTTTTTTTTTTTTTTTTTTTTTTTTTTTGTCTTTTTCATTTTTATCGGTACTGGGGATCGAACTCTCGACTGCCTGCTTGCAAGGCAGGTGTTTATGCCGCTGAGCTAAATCCCCAGCCCTTGCTCTTCTTTTTCTAGAAGCTTCAGGTGTAGCATTAGGTTGTTTATTTGTGCTTTTTCTGTTTTCCTGATATGAGAATTCCTGGCTATCAATTTCCCTCTTAGAGCTGCTTTCATTGCATCCCACAGGTTCTAGTATGTTGTATCTGCATTTTCTTTTAATTGTAGGTACTGTTTATTTCTCATTTAACTTCTTAACCATTGGTTGTTCAAGAGGGTATTACTTAATTTCCATGTGTTTACAGAGCTTTTGTATTTTTTGTTTTTATTTGTTTGTTTGTTTGTTGGTATGGGGGATTGAACTCATGACCTAGTGCTTGCCAGGCAGGCACTTACGCCCCTCAGCTAAATCCCTGGCTCCTTTTGTGGTTTTTATTGTAATTAATTACACTATGGTGAGATAATATGCATGGGATAATTTCAATTCCTTTATATTTACTTAGGCATGTTCTGTGGGATAGTATATGGTCTGTTTTAGAGCGCATCCCATGTGCAGCTGAGAAGAATGTGTATCTGATGTTGTGGGGTGGAACACTCAATAAACATCTACTAGGTCAATTTGTTCACAGGTTTGATTCAGTTCAGTTATTTCTTTGCTAATTTTTTTGTACTGTTGACCGGTCTGTTTGTAACAGTGAAGTATTAAGGTCCCCCATTATAACTTGTTATTGCTTATAATTTTTTGTGTGTCCGTTAATATTTGCCATGTATTGTTGAGCATTCCCATATTTGGTGCTTATATTTGTCATTGTTATGTGTTCCTCCTGAATTTTTCTCCTAACAAGAATTTAATGACCTTCTTTATCTCTTTTAATCATTCTTGGTTTATAGTTCACATTTTCTGCAAACAGGATAGCTACCCCTGCTTTTTTCTAGGTTCCTTTTGCATGGAGTATTGTTTTTCATCCTTTAACTTTTGTCTATGAGTTTCTTTTTGAGTTAAATGCATTTCTTGTATACAGCAGATTGTTGGATCCTGTTTGTTGATTCATTCTGGTTGTCTGTTTGTTTTGACTGATGAATCAAGGCCATTTACATTTATGATAATTATTGATATGTATTGGCTTGTCTTTGTCATGTTATTTTCCTGTTCTTTTTTTTTTTTTTTTTTTTTTGCTTTTGTTTTTTTCTTTCTTTTTATCGATACCAGGGATCGAACTCACGACTGCCTGCTTGCAAGGCAGGCACTTATGCCACTGAGCTAAATCCCCAGCCCCTAGTTTCCTGTTCTTGGTTCCCTGCTTTTCCCTCAGTTTAACTGCTTGCCCTGCTTGTTGGTTTCTTTCTGTTAGAATTGTGGTCATTATTGTCTCTGTCTAGAATACCTTTTAGTATTAGTATTCTTTGTAGTGTGTTGGATCAGTGGTCATGAATTTCATCAGTTGTTCTTTGTCATGAAAAGTACTTTATTTCTCCTTTTTTTTTTTTGTTTTGTACTGAGCATGGAAGTCATAACCTCACGTTTGCCTGGCAGGTGCTTACACCACTGAGTTAAACCCTCAGCCTTCTCCATTGATTTTGAAACATAGTTTTGTCAGGTACATCAGTCGGAGTTGGAATTTGTTTTCTTTTAGGACTTAAAAAACTTCACTCCAAGCTTTTCTTGCATTGTTTGTGTTGCAAACTTCGCTGTGATTCTGATAGGCTTTCCCTTATTATTCATGATATTTCTTTTCTGTAATAGCTTTTAATATTCTGTTCTTGTGCTGAATTTCTGGGATCTTGTTATATGTCTTTGTGTAGAGTTTTCGTAGTTATGCCTGATTGGGGTTCTCTATGGCTCACTTAGGTATATGTCAGATTTTTTTTCAATACTTGGGAAATTTTCTGTTATTTTGCAAATAGTTTTTTTTTAATTTCATTTGTGTTAGGCCTTGCTTTTTAATTGACACCCATTATCCTTATATTATTTTTCTTTACCTTATCATGTAGCAGTTGAATTATTTTAATTTTTAGTTATTTTCAAGATATCTGTCCTTTCCTAGTCACTAGCTATGATCCTGTCTTCATATTCAGTTTCATTCAAGTGGGTTTGCTAGCTTTCAATGGAATTTTTGATTTCCTGGATATCTGCTTGAATGTTCTGTTTGTTTCCTATATTGATCTTTCATGATTTCCATCCTCTTCCTAACATCATCTATTTTCTTATCTGTCTCTGCTCTAGATTTGCTGAACATTTTGGTTAAAGTGTTGACATTTCTTTTTAATCTGAGAGACTATTTCTGATCTGATTTCCTTTATAGCCTTATGGATTGGTTTCTTGATTTTTTTCTTTATTTCTTGTACCAGGGATCAGACTCATGAACTGACGCTTACCAGGCAAGTGCTTGAGCCACTGAGCTAACTCCCTGGGCCCATGGATTTGTTTTTTTTTTGTTTTTTTTTTACCTCAGTTGCTATCATTTCAGAGATTTTAGGTGTGTGTCTCCTATTTTCTTCTATGCTAATGACTTTCTGGGTTCCCAGTGAAGGTGGAGAGGTGATGGGAATCTCTGCCACCTCAGGCTCTCCTAAACTGTGTTCTGAAAGGTCTTTTAAGGGAAAATTTTATCCCCCAAACTGGGTTCTGAAAAGTCTTATGAGGTAAAATTTTATCTATGAATTTCCACATCAAGGAAACTTAGGAAGCGCAAATAAAAAGCCTAATGTTGAGACTCGAACTTCTAGAAAAAGAAGAACAAGGCAAGCCAAATGCTTATATGGGGGAGGAAATAATAAATATTCCAGCAGAAACTAATCCAGTTGAGACTAAAGAATCTAGGAATCAAAGAGATGATTTGAAAGATTAAATGAATTGAAAATCACTTTGCAAACATAAAAGGAAGGAAAAGATTCATATTCATGAAATTAAATATGAAACAGTGAAATTACAACAGGTTCTGCTGAAATTCAGAAGTTTATCAGTACCAAATACGAGAACAAATATTCGAAAACACAGAAGAATTAGACAGATTCCTACCAACATCTGAATTACCAAAACTGAACTGAGGATTTAAAATTCTAATTAACCCAGTATCAGTCAGTGAAGTTGCAAAAGTAATTTTATTGGCCCTGAATCAAGGCCAGCAGCTTCCTGACGCTGTTGGTTTCAAGCAGGAGCCTAAAGAGATGTCTTTCTATGATCTGTTGGCCATTTCAGAACTTGGGCAGTGAAATGGTCAATTCATTAGAAAGAAAAAGCTTGAAGCAACCCCTCATTGCCCCCACTCCCCGTTAGAGGCTGTGAGTGTGGCAGGCTGCAGCGGCCCAGGACGGGAGCCACTGGCATTTACTGGGACCTGCACTATGCTGGGACCTGGAGCATTGGGAAACCAAGCAACCCCTCCCCCCTGATGAGTGGCTGTGCATGTGGCAGGCTGTGGCGGCCCAGGACAGGAGCCACCGGCGTTTACTGGGACCCATGCCATGCTGGGACCTGGAGCACCGGGAAACCAAGCTACCCCTCCCCCCCCTGCATGTTTTGTTTTGTTGAACTTCAATATACATGAAAGTATGGACAGCTATTTTGAAGAGAGAAACTCTACGACAGCTATTAGTGACTTCCCTATTGTCTGGTCTTGAAGACCTAAATCGCCTTCCTCATTCTGTTCAGATCAGTTTTATACTATGTTGTTTTATATGAATTCTCTGCAAAGACATGGACAACTATTTGGAAGAAAACAAGAGACAATATGATAGACAGTGAAGCTCTCAGGTCGTCTAGCTTTGAAATTTATGTCTCTTACATTGCTTTCTTATGTACTATTTTGTTCTGTTTTGTTGTGTTTAATTCTACCCCCTTTAAAATGAAAGAAAGAAAGAAAAGTAATTTTAAAATGACCAACACAAAGCTCAGGTATGGACTAGTATATAGCTGAATTCTATAAGATCTTTAGAGAAGAGCTAATGCCTCTACTGATGACACTCTTTAATGAAATTGAAAGGGAAATAGTATTTGTGAAATCTTTCCTGGAAACAAGTATTACCATGATGCAAAAACCAGAAAAAAACCAACCAAAAAAGAGAGCTGTGGGTGAATACCATGAATGCAAATACATGCAGAAAGTCTCACTGAGATACTGGCAAACAGAATACAATAAATCATCAAGATTAGATATCATGATCAAGAAGGATTCATCCTGGGTATGCAAGGATGACTAAATATACACAAACCAAAGAATGTAATACACCATATCAATACAGCAAGAGACAAATATACAAGAGCATCTCAGTCAATTGCAGAAAAAACAAACTGGGGAGAGTTGGAGGTTAAACTTCAACTGATTATCGGTGTTTGTCTCTGCTTGTTACTGAGACTGTGGACAAGAGAGCAATTTCATTCTCTGATGGTGGCTCACTGTGATGTGAAGAAGCCTATATTTAACTTTCTGACTTCTCATGTTTCTCAGTGTCACCATCTTGACTGTGTTACTCTGGATTGCATAGGCACTGAGAATTTTGTAAGACTGTGGGAATCTATATAACTTTCTGAGTGTGGATTCTCTCATGAATGGCAGTGAAGGAAGGTTCTTCCCTAACCAGTTATCCATTTGCTATTTCTTTACAGCAAGTTGCTTGTTTAAAATACCAGTTACCTCAGTGACTTAAAAATTGCTTTTCAAGTTTTCACTTCATGGGGCAGGGGGTTGTTAGCTCAGTGGCACAAGTGCCTGCCTGGCAAGTACAAGGTTATAAGTTTGATCCCTGGTGCCAAAAACAAAAAAAAAAAAATTTCACTATACAATTGTGTTTTTCTTAGTTTAAAAGTGAATATGATATTGATTACATGTGAAGAAATAAAGAAACACTTAGATGCAATTGTTTGTTTTGCATTTGTCATAAATATGTGTAACAATCCATGTAATCTTGATGCAGGTGAGGAAACCAAACTGTGTTTACCTCCAATGTTAGTCTGATTTCATGTAACTGCCCACACATTGGACATAAGTTGGAGTTTTGCAAGTTCTTTGACCCTTAAAAATCTCATCAGACAAAAATCTTATTTTGTTTCAACATTTGGAACTGGAATGAATTAATTGAGGTTAATATGTCATTGTGATTTTAACTGGATGAGGATACAAGGTTTGTATTGGGCAGGCTACTGGCCATAGAATTGTAGGAAAGTTCATATCTCTGACACTTCATTCCCCTACTCTACTGCCTCTGGGTTTGTGCTATTTCAGATTTTTTTTTTGTTATTTATTGTCATGGGTTTTAAAATGTTACTATTGATTTTTTTTGCAAAAGATAATGAAGAACATTTTTTAGAATAAATTACTGATGTGCAGGTGATAAATTGGTCAAATACTGGGATTATAGACATGTACTGCCACAGCTGGCTGAAGTTTTCCTTTTGGAATTAGTGCCTAATTACTTCATGATGTCTTCAGTTTTAATGTGTAATGTTTTATTCATATCCTTCCCCTAGTACCAATCACTTTGTTTCTTTTTTTTTTTTTTTTTTTTTTTTTTTTTGTCTTTTTCCTTTTTATCGGTACTGGGATCGAACTCACGACTGCCTGCTTTACAAGGCAGGCGCTTATGCCGCTAAGCTAAATCCCCAGCCCCAATCACTTTGACAATGCTAGAGTTTCTTATGTCTGAGTGCATGGTGATCAATTATAATCAAAGAACTACAGATAATATGCCACCTGCCACCTTTTTCATTACCTTTTTTTTTTATTGGTGCACTTTAGATATACATAGTGATAAAATTCATCTTGGGAATTTGTACCTGTTCATGATATATCTTTATGCTGCTGCTGCTGCTGCTTTTTATTTTTCTCCCCTCCATTCAGATCCTCTTCCCCTCTTTATTTACAAAGCTGTTTCATATTTGTTCCTTTCTTTTTCTTAGCCCTTCTTTCCTTCCCCTGCACCTCATTTTTGCCCTGTTCATTTAAACAGTTTCTTCATAGAGTCCTCAAAAAACAAAACCTACAGAATCCATTAACCCAGCAATTTCCTTTCTTGTTCTTAACCCAAAAGAATTAAAAGCATCTTCCTACAGTGATGTATGCACCCATGTTTTTGCTAGCACAGTTTGTAATAGATAAATCTTAAAAAACAGCCCAAATGTCCATGACTGGTAAATGCATAAAGAAGATGGGGGGGGGGGTTGTGCAGTGGAATACTACTGTGCCATAAAGAATGATAAGCTTGAGACAACTGTAGCTAAATGAGTGGACATTGAGATCTCACACTTGAATGAAATGAATTGGACATACAAATATGAATATTATAGGGTTTCTCTGGTGTGAAAAACCAAAAATTAAAAATAAGTAACAAAGTACATATCCTTAATAGTCTATTAATTTTTTCTATTTCTAAAAGAACATGTATATTTCAAAATGCTGTCTATGTACATTTTGTTGTTTTGCAAAACAACAAAAAATGACTTAATTTCCAGAATAATCAGTCTTGAAAAGAGAATAGACTTAAGGTCTGTCACAGTCATTCATTAGATATTTTTCTGACTCCTGTTTTTATAATATTGATTTGCAAGCTCCATCTATGAGCTCTGCTTTAGAAACAGTGCACAAATACAATTTCTGTGAACCTAGCAGGAAATGACAGCTAATAATCTGCTGTTGCTCTCATCAGAGAACCAATCTAGCATCAGAATTGCATGTGAGGGGGCTGGGGATTTAGCTCAGCAGCATAAGCACCTGCCTTGCAAGCAGGCAGTCATGAGTTCGATCCCCGGTACCCATAAAAAAGGTAAAAGACAAAAAAAAAAAAAAAAAAAGAATTGCATGTGAAACCTTGTACATACACATGGATTTGGTGACAAAGACATGACATTTATATTTGAATGAACAAACTCAGAAAAAAAAAATCAAAAAATAAAGGAACAAACCCAGTTCAGCTTTTACAAGAGGAGTTCAGGTTCTTAGTATATGAGAGTCAACCTTCTTTTAGGAAGTACATATGTGATTCTTTAGGAGGCAGTGACCTTGGCAGATATAACCGTGAACTTCACCAAAGAGGAATGGGCTCTGCTGAATCCATCCCAAAAGAAGCTCTACAGAGATGTGATGTGGGAAACAGTGATGAATATAAATGCTATCGGTAAGGATGACATCATTTTGTCATACATAGAGTGATAGAGTATTGGTTCTTTCTGATGAATACAGACTCATTAACATTTTGAGCGATATCTCAGTCCTGATAACATTATACCATGAATCTAACTGCTAACTGCTTATTTTTATATAATGATATGGTGACTATTTGTATTTGTATTGGTACAATTCAGGAAGAACTTGGGAAAACCAGCATATGGAAGAAGAATACAAAAATTGCTCAAGAAATCTAAGGTAATTTGTATTCATATAGGAAAACAATACTTCTCAAGACTCACTGTGTGAGCAGAAATATTATAAGAAAACTCGAAAAATCAGACAGTGTTCAAATTTAGTCTCACAAAAATTTTCCACCTATGCATATAGTTTGATTTTGTGTAAGCTGATAATTGAATAGAGAAATATCCCAGTATAGGAAACTAATTTATTAGTGACATTTTCAAGAAGAAGCACTGTCTCATATATGGTATCAAAAATTCTTTTATAATAAACATGAAAATATATGAAGTGGCATTTAGGTATTTCTATAGGCTTACATGAAATGAATAAATATGAACTTTGGCAGGAACCGATCTCAGAGTTACCTGGTTTTGTGTATATATCAACATGTGATACATACGATCTAAAACATTGCAAACCTAGAATCAACATTCAAAACGCACACAAATGTTGATGTTAATAGATGATTGAAAACATCCATCAGAGAATTGTGTGCATTTATGTTTTAAAATTTTTAGAATGTACCTTCATACATTCTTGGCAGAAATGTAAAACAGGATGCTTTATATTTCAATGCACAGATACCACGAAAAATAAAAATAAATGTTTGCATTTGATTCTGGCAAAAATCCCTATTTATATTTGGAAAGGATTTAAAAGTGCCTTATCTTAGTGATACATATGTAGGCTCAAATCAGGGTATGCATGAATATTCACAGTATCAAGATCTGGAAAAAAGTCACAGTACCTAAGCTCTGGTAACAGCCCTGTCATTGATAGTAGTAGGCACGGAAAAGGAGAAAGTGGCATAGGCTGGACGTGGTGGTATCTTGTTACGATCCCAGCATGGTAAGCTGAGCCAGCAGGATGACAACATGAAGTGCACCCTGGCCAAATGAACGATCAGTGACAAGCTATCTTGGTTTGTTCTTGTTGCTGGGGCAAAATACCCAACACCCACAATGAAGGATGTTTATTTAGCTCTCTGTTGTGGAGATTTCAGTCCACAATCAGCTGGCTTCAAGGCAGGGTTAGTGTGACACCGGGGCAGCAAGCAAGCAAAAAGGAAAACAAACCTTTTCTATCTTATATCGTATACAAGTCACCAGCTCCACTCCAGAGCAGGTATAACACTCAGGAAATCTCTGTGCCCTCCTCTTGCACAAAATGAGAATGTTTACAAAGAACCTGGCTCACTGCTGAATCTCAGTTAAACTTCTAAACGTCTCAAGTTGACAGTGTATCAAGCATAACACAAGCTGTCTCAAAACAAGAAACAGAAAAACTAAAAAGAAAAACTATAAATGTATTTTATTGGTCAGAACCTTGTTTATTTCTCAGCACTGAAAGAAAAGTATGTTATATGTATTCAGCCAAAAGAGAAAAATCTTATATCTTCTGTTTAAAAGAAAAAAAAAAAGATTGGATTTCACCTCATAATGTATAATGAAATAAGTCAGACACAGAAACTAAATTATCAAGTGTTTCTTTTTATATGAGATACCAAAATATAAATTAGTGTGTAAAATTAAATAGAAGGAGAGAGTGAGGGGCAAAAGTGTGAAAATTGACTAATACACGATACACATTTGTATTCATGACTTAAATGAAACTTGGTCTTATGTATTATAAATGTATACCAAATATATGCCATTCTTTGGAATTGAACTTTTGGAGGCATCTTCAAAGGCATTCAGCCTATATTTACTATGAAAATTTCTTAGCACTTATCAATCTAAACTTTTCCTGGTAAATTATTAATAGCAACCTTTTTTTTTTTTTTTTTTTTTTGTCTTTTTCCTTTTTATCAGGGATCAAATTCACAACTGCCTGCTTGCAAGGCAGGTGCTTGTGCCGCTGAGCTAAATCCCCAGCCCCAATAGCAACCTTTTTGTTTTGATTGATATTTTATTTCTTTACAGAGATGAGGAGGTAGCAAAATGCTATCAACATAAGACTTGTAATCATCATGCAAATATATTCCTTCAGCTTCCAGTTGATAATTTGGACATGCAACAAGGTGCTTTAAAACCAGTTGGAAGTCTTGTCCTTAGGGAACCCTTGAATGGGCTTTTATCTTCAAATGAGCCAAGTTCATATCACACTGGAGAGAAACCACATGAGTATTTGGAATTTGATGTCAAGCTGAGTAAATATAATGAACATGGAAAACCCTGCGGTGATTTCCAATCCTTTCAGATGCATTCAAGGACAAAGACTGTAGTGAAGTCCTATCAACATGAGCAGTTCAATTCCTATTCTGAGCTTAGTGAAAAAACTCACCCTGGAGACAAGACAATTGTTGGTCAGAAAACTGTGAAAGATTCCATCACCCTTGATTTTCAAAACGGTGAAAGAATTCACACTGGGAAGAAGCCATATGTGTGCAAGCAATATGGAAAAATCTTCAGTACTCAAGGTTGTAAAATTCATGAAAGGAGTCACATGGAGGAGAAACCCTATATATGTAAGCACTGTGGAAAAACATTTTATATCTATGGTTGCTACCAAAGACATGAAAGAATTCACATTGGTGTGAATCCTTTTATATGTAAGCAGTTTGGGAAATCATTCATCAGATACACTCAAGATCAAAGCCATGAAACTACTCACGCTAGGGAGAAACCATATGTATGTAAGCACTGTGGGAAAGCTTTCACGAGACGCAGTTATTGTCAAGTGCATGAAAGAAATCACACTGGAGAGAAACGTTATATGTGCAAGCAATGTGGAAAAGCATTCACTACAAAGACGTATTCTAACATACATGAAAAAATTCACACTGGGGAAAAACCTTATATGTGCAAGCAGTGTGGGAAGACATTCACTACAAATCGATCTTGTCAAATACATGGAAGAAGCCATACTGGTGAGAAGCCTTATGTATGCAAGCAATGTGGGAAAGCATTCACTACACGCCAATCTTGTCAAATGCATGAAAGAACACACACTGGGGAGAAACCTTATGTGTGCAAGCACTGTGGAAAAGCATTCACTAGAAAGCCTCATTATAACAGACATGAAAGAAACCACACTGGTGAGAAAACTTACGTGTGTAACCAATGTGGAAAGGCATATTCTACACAGCAATCTTGTAAAGTACATGAAAGAACACACACTGGGGAGAAACCTTATGTGTGCAAGCAATGTGGGAAGGCATTTACTACACACCAATCTTGTCAAAGACATGAAACAAGTCACACTGGGGAGAAACCTTATGTGTGCAAACAATGTGGGAAGGCATTCACTGCAAAGAATTCTTATAACATACATGAGAGAACTCACACAGGGGAGAAACCTTATGTGTGCAAGCAATGTGGGAAGCGATTCACTGCAAAAAATTCTTATAACATACATGAAAGAACTCATACTGGGGAGAAACCTTACGTGTGCAAGCAATGTGGGAAGGCATTTACTACACACCATTCTTGTCAAATACATGAAAGAATTCACACAGGGGAGAAACCTTATGTATGCAAGCAATGTGGGAAAGCATTCACTACACACCAATTATGTCGAAGACATGAAATCTCTCACTCTGGTGAGAAACCTTATGTGTGCAATCAATGTGGAAAAGCATTTACTATAAGAAGTAATTATAAAAGACATGAAAGATCTCATACTGGGGAGAAACCTTATGTGTGCAACCAGTGTGGGAAGGCATTTACTACACACCAATCTCGTCAAAAACATGAAACAAGTCACACTAGGGAGAAACCTTATGTGTGCAACCTATTTGGGAAGGCATTCACTACAAATAATTCTTACACATGAAAGAATTCTCACGGGGTAGAAATTATGCATGTGAGCCATGTGGAAAAAGATTAGTTATTAGGCCCTCATACACAGATCCCACATTGGGAGGATCCATATGTATATATGCAATGTGGGTGAAGTCATCAATTAACACATACTTTATGAACAACATGAATGAAGTCACATTGGAGAGTGACCCTATTTATTTAAGCCTATTTTTTAAAGTTTGTGAAAATTCCTCAAGTAATGGAGACCTGAATACATATCAATGAAAAATTAGATGTCAGTATTTCTTCATGAGTTTACTAGAAGATGTACTCCCAGATGGTGATCTCTGATGTATTCAATTGTTTTTTCATTAAAGCACTTGTAAATATCTGAACAATGTATCCACAGTCTTTACTAGAAGCAATATTGGTATATTTGATACAAGCCACTGTCTTTTTGTTTTTAATTGATACCGGAGATCAAACTCACAACTGCGTGCTTGCAAGGCAGGTGCTTATGCTGCTGAGCTAAATTCCCTAGCCCCTAAATCACTGTCTTTCAACTTAGCATATTGTGTCTTCTACAAAAACAAGGTGAATGGAAATGCATTTATCACTTCCAGGTTGGGTTAGTATTTATGTAGTTTTGTTTTGCTTTTACTATAGGGAAATACAGGTTACACTAAATTTGATTGTAATTTTCTTCATGTAAACATTTCATATTCTGTATACAAAAAGATATTTTTTAGTTTGATCCTCTATGTGTAAATACATATTAGAGACATGAACATGTATGTTTTTCAAAGTTCATTTGTTAGGCCAGAGATTTAGCTCAGCAGCATAAGTGCCTGCCTTGCAAGCGCACAGTAGTAAGTTTGATCCCTGGTACAAAAAAAAAGTTCATTTGTTGACACAACTTGTAGATTAACGAATGGTTTTTTAATGTCTTAACTAGATACCTGCATATATCCCAACATAATTATATAAAGAACATAATTTCACCTTGTTTGCTTTCCTGTCGAAGTCAGTCCTATGATTCACACCTAGTTTTGTTTTAACATAAAAGTGTTTACTTTTCATGCTCATATTGTTATGACTTCCAATTTGGTGATAATTTTACCAAAAAGTAACCCATACTGCTGTGCTTGTGACACATTTGCCTTGTCAAATAAAGGATACTATCAACTGTAGTATTGTGTCAGTGCTTACCAGATAAACAGTTTTAATGGGAGAATCACAATTGTATAAGAATTCACGAGATTGACTTAGAATCACTGCCCACATACTTACATCTGGGAGAGTGCAAAAGTCTCTCTGTGCACTGGATATGCCAAAAAAAAAAAAAAATCCACTTCTATTCTTGGAGCTCACTGTAGTGTATCCTGTGCAGGTCTGTTGGGGACTAAAGGGTCTGTGCCAGAAGCCCGAGCGGCCTGCGCTGCAGGCTGAAGAGTCTACACTGAAAACCAGGGGATGACTTCCAATGTGAACCCAAGCTCCTCCATAGAAACATGGGTATGCCTTCATTTTGGGAGTTTTTTTTTTTTTTTTTTTTTTTAAATAACATTCTGGAAACAATTCTGTCCAAGGTAGGCCTTCCACATCAGTAATTTGCTGGGCAGGTTTAGTTCGGCATGTAGTTCTCAGCCTGACACAATTCCCTTAGTTGTCACTATCCACATCTGACTGCACACGGTTCTTTAAACCATAGCTTCCTGCTACCAAGATAAGTTCATAAATACACTTACCTTATTATACTTGGAACTGCACCACTCCCCCTGCCCAACATAGAGGGAAATTTTCTACCTGGAACATTATAACAGGTTTAAGACTACCAATTATAAGTCTATCGGCAACTTATTTTGGGAGAATTTTAGGGAAAAACAATTACAATCCTCATTTCTGTAGCTGACCATGAGGCCAAAGCTTGTATTTAGAACTTACTATATGACCCATTCTGTATTCCGTGGATTTCAGCAAGCACTCAGCAGTTGTTTTCCTTTTCCTGATGTGGAGTTACACTTTCATTCCTGAAAGTTGTGGACAATTTGGTATTTTACCTGGATTGGATTTTTCTAGTTTCCCATTGACGTTAATAGCAAGGCAATAAAAGGAGAGACACATAGGGATCTCTTATACTCCAAGTGCATTCTTTCTTTCCTCCATTGTGGAGTAATAGTACGATTTACCCTTGACACTGGCTCAGTCACTTCTCTGAGCATTCTGCCTATTTAGTTTCCTTCCTCAGATTCATGAGAGCAAAATAACCAAAAGGAAGTCTTCAGTTCTAGTTTATATGTATCACTGTGCTTCCTGGTACCTGATAGGGTTTTCAGTGTCAGGTAAGTATAAAGAAATAGTAGCCTTTATTTAAGGACGAGGAGAAGCACCCCACAACCAAAGACAGCCAGGCCTCTTCTGATTGGGATGTGGGGTATGGGGACATACATATAACCTCTAACCCAGGTTTGCACTTAGGGTGGGCATTGGTGACACGAGAGCAGCTGATAGGGGCTTTTTTTGTGCCACTGATAGAAGGAAAAGGAAGTTGTAGTAGGGGAAGGGGGAAGTGACCTCAAGGTAAACATCCCTTGGTCCTGCCTCTCACTGCCATAATATCTAGGGCAAAATACTTTCAGTACCAACCTTCCCTTCTCTGGAACTAGGACTTTTTCTAAGCCAGTTGAACATAAGATCATAAAACCAGGGAACAAATCTTTGCTGATAGATAACTGTGGACACCAGTGATCTATTAGTGATACTGTGGTACCACTCTTCCACCATTTCCTGACTGGGAGACACAGTATAGTAATTGCTGACTGAAAACATAGACCACCTCTGGAACGACCTTGCCCCCAGCACTATAAATACTGCTATTTAATGGGTGCTGGAACTGTGTCTTCAAAAGGTCATTCCAACTTTCTATCAATCCAGCTGCTTCTGGATGGTGAGGAAAATTATAAGACCATTGAATTCCATGAGCATTAGATTATCAGCTCTCTTATTTGGGAAGTAAGTGTATTCCTTGGGGTCAAAACCAATGCTGGGTAGAAGTCCATAATGGTGGACAAAGAATTATGTGAATCCATGGATTAGCTGGTGTACCATAAATTCAGCTGGTGGGATAAAAATGGCTAGCCATTGGTTATGGTTGGTTTTTCATGTTATATAAGCACCATATACAACTTCTGTAGCATTAAAACCACATACCAGGAGACATCTGATTGAAAATGGTGAATGCAGATCTTCGCAGTCGACCATACTTTGGTCAGTGTATCTGGTAGTACATTTTGCCTGGAAGGAAAAATGGCCAGATATGCAACTGCATACTGATTCATGGCCTGTATCTGATGATCTAGTTGGGTTTTCAGAATGGTGGCTGAACTGAGTGGAAAATTGGTGACAAATTTGGGAATGACAGGGACAGACTTACCTATATAGGCAAGGTATTTAAATATATATGTATAGCATAAATGCTCACCAAAATGTGATCTCAGCATAAGAGAACTTTGACAAGTGGTTGAAAAAGCTGACCCATTCTGTAGATAGCAGTCAACTTCTTTTCAGCTACCCCTTTCACTCTCCAATGGGCTCATGAAGAGTGGGCGTGCTGGCAGGAATGGAGGCTGGGCATGGTTGGTGATGAGGACTCCCAACTCGCTGAGGCTGCTCTGAGCCATTGCCCTAGGCCCAACATTCCTGCAGCATAGACCAACAGTTTTCCCGCTATGGGTAATGTACCTTCAAGTTGGTGGCAGTTTGATTACACAGGACTGCAATATATGAATGGATTTTATATGTGAGAAAATGGAGTGAAAATGATATACCTGGATTAAGCTTAATTTGTTGATATGGGCCTATTAAGCAGCGATTCTGAATTTATTGTAGCAGCTCATGTAGTAAAAAAGGTTTTACAGTGTATTCCTCTGGTTAGCAGAAGTTGGATCAAAATGCGGCTCACCTTGAATGACTTAGAGATGCCTTACCTTTTGTGGTTTACTGTTGGTGAGGGTATTCCGAGATTCAGAGCATAGGTAGCACTAAAATGGATCTGTCATGTCACTGCTCATCTGCCACCATGCAATATTCCAGAAAATGTTCCCGTCTGTATATCACAAAGAATTGGATTTATGAGGAGAGCACTATTATCCCTGCAGAACCCTATCATTGGCCTTCCCTCCGTGCTGAACCTTACAATGGGAACCAGAGATGTCAGTTGGGAAGCTTAAGGAAAGTGGGTCTAATTGGATCCTGAAGTGGCCTCAGCCAAGTGGCAACATATGATTGCCACAAGCAAAGTGCAATCCTTAGGAAAATGTACAGCAGAGTAACAGCAGTGATCAGGATAGTGTGACACCTGTAGACATATGCCATTTGTTGATTATCTGTGGTGTTCCCAACAGTGAAATTCGGTGGTAGCCTACAAAAATGTTACTAAAATTTTTTTTATCCATACCAGGGATGCAACTCATGACCACACACTTGCAAGGCAGGTGCTCATGCCACTGAGCTAAATCCCCAGCCCTACTGAATTTTTAATATAAATGAAATATAAGGGCAAATGAATAGAAAAATACTTCAGAGCACTGTAAATGTGAATCATGGCCCCTAAAACACTTCCTGGATGATAGAAACTTTACAGTTCCACAACTCCTTGAATGAAGATAAGTCTCCTTGATGAAGAATCCCAGTGCACCACCAGAAGTTTATAACGGCCCATTTTTCTCCCACCATTCCCCAACAGAGCAAAAACACTGTCACCCGAATAACCATAAATTGAGAAATGTGGAATTTTGGGGACAGGTGGGCAAAGCTTTTTCCACAAGATTCAAAATATCATTGTGGCCCTCCAGTAAGAATATAGGCCTATGGAGTTTAGGTAATCAGTGGAATTTTTGCAAGGTCCAACTCACTGCTTGTTCAGTGTGTCCTCAAGTTCATCAAATATTTATTTCTACTTTTCAGAATGTGTAGCTGGGATAGGTGTACACGGTACTTGACAGAACACTCACAGTGGTGCCTTCAACTGCAATATGACAGCTAGCATAACTGGAAACTCTAAACGGAATCCATTAGAATTGCCTTTCCTGGACAAATCACTGTAAAACTATTGTAAAATAGTGCTTTCATGGGGGGATTGCAGAGATCATAGCCATTATCAGGGCCTAGAGGAATGCAGGCACAAGTCATTCCTACCCCATCTCCATTTAATTCTTCAATATGGATGGTGAAGAAGACAGATGTATTGCAGAGGTTGATAATACATTATCACAAACTCAGTCAAGTTGTGATTCCTGTTGCAGCTCCTACACCAGAAGTGGGATCTTGTGCTGAGATTAATCCATCACCTGGTCTTGGAATGCATGTATTGATTTGCCATGTGCCCTCCTTCTCCACCTACCTCCATATGGGTCATCTGAAATAATTTGCTTTCAGTGGGAAAGACAAGCTGTACACCTTCACTGTCCTACCTCAAGGTTACATTAATGTTTCAGCGCTGTGTTTAAACTTAGCCTGAAGGGATCTTGATCACTTTCTCTATCACAGTGCATCACACTATATTATGCTGATTGAACCAAGTGAGCAGAATTTAGAAACATCCCTGCTTTGCTAGTAAAAATTTGAGAACCAGAGGATGGGAAATAAGTCATGCTAAAACTCAATGTCCCCTAACTCTGAAATTTCTGGGAGTTCAGTCATGTGGGGCATGTGTAAATGTCCCTTATAAGATAAAACATGATTCATTGATCTGGCTTCCCTAACAAGGAAAAAACACAGTGTCAAGTGGGCCTGTATGGGTATTAGAGGAGATACCTCCTTCACTTAGGTGTTTTACTTTGGCGCAATTACTGAGTGACTCAGAAAGCTGCCTAGTTTGGAGTGGTGCCCTGAAGAAGAAAGGGATCCACAAAAGGTCCATGCTGTTGCTCAGACTACCCATTCACTGCGGGCATATAATTCAGCAAACTCAGTGGTATTTCAAGGGTCAGTGCCTGGTAGGGATGCTGCTTTTAGCCTCTGCCAGGATGTTATATGTCCATCGCTATGGAGATCATTAAGATTCTGAAGCAAGATTATGCCATAATCTGCAGAAAACTACTCTCCCTTTGAAAAAGTTTTTGCCATGCTATTGGGCCATAGTGGAAAATAAAAACTTTATCACAGGACACCAAGTTACCATGCAACCTGCGCTGCTTAGCATCTGGGTATTGCCTTATCCACCAAAGCATAAATTGTATATGTACAGTAACAGTTTATCATTACATGGAAACTATATGCAATTGAGACAGAGCAGATCCAAGGGTATGAGTAAATTATATGAAGAATTTTCTCAGATGTCCATGGCTGTAACTCCTGCCATATCATCTTCTTTTCCCAACAGGTACCTATGGATTCTTGGATTCAGCTCTTAGGGTCAAAAATGCTAACCACAGTTTATGGATGGTTCTGCATGTTATGGATGCATAACCTGTAAGTGGATGGCTGTAACATTTCAACCACTTTGCAAGATATCCCACTTTCATTGGTGAAGGGAAATATTCACGTAGGAAAAGACTCTGGGCTTTGTACCTGGTAATACATTTTGCCTACAAGGAAAAACCACCAGATATGCAACTGTATCCTGATTTATATACTGAATAGTCTACTTAGATGTTCAGAAACATGAGAATAAGTGGAAAACCTGGTGACAAGGTGTCTGGGGATGAGGGATCCACCTGTCTACAGATTTGTGTCCCTTATAAACATTCACCAAAGTGTGACTCACCTGAAAATGACTTTAACAGTCATTTGGATAAGCCATCCAGGCCTATAGATAACAGTCAGCTTCTCTCTTCAGCCACCCTTTTCATTTCCCAATGGGCTCATGAACAGAGTGTGCATGTTGGCAGGAATGCAGGTTATTCATGGTCAGTGACATGGACTACCACTATCCAGGGCTGTTTTGTCTACAACCACTGCTGTAGGCCCTATACACAAGCAGCATTAACCAAAAAAATTTCCCCTATATGGCATCATTCTTGTATCTGGTGGCATTTTGATTATATTGGATTACTGCCATCATGGAAGGTGTGCCCTTTGTCTTTACTGGGATAGACACTTTTTCTGGTATGGACTTACCATTCCCACATGTCATGATTCTGGCAAAACTCCCACCCATGGATTCATAGAGTGCCTTATCCACCTCTGTGGAATTCTACACAGCATTGGCTTTGACCACAAGGAAAACATTTGATGCCCAAAGAAGTGAGGTGATGGTCTCATGCTCATGGCATTCAGTGGTGTTATCATTTTCCTCACCATTCAGAAATGGCTGCATTGACATAAAGTTTGAATGATCTTTCAGAGACACATTCCCACACCAGTTAGGTAGCAATAGCTTACAGTGCTGGGGCAAGGGTCTTCAAAAGGCAGGGTATATATGCCTTGAGTCAGTATCTGCTATATGATACTGTGTTGTGCATAGCCAAGATCCATGGATCCAGGAATGAAGGTGTGGAAGTTTGAGTGGTACCACTCACTGTTACCCACAGTGATATACTAGTAAAAATTTGAACCCTGTTCTCATTACCTTATGTTCTACGGACTTAGTATGAAGTCTTAGTTTAGAGGGGGAAAGGTTTGTACCAGATGATATCAATCATCTGGAAGCAATGACTTCCCACTAGGCATTTGAATGTTCTTATGACAAAAAAAGGGAATTACAGTGTGGAGTACAGTGTAGTGTGGAGAGGTATCTGACCAAGATTGTCAAAGTAAAATTATACTATTACTCCCAAGTGTAGAAAGAATACAGGAGATCTCTTAGTGTGTCTCCTCATAGTGCCATGAAGTTTTTAAAGTCAATGGGAAGTAATAATAATGCAATCCAGGAAGAATGTCAAATGGTCTACAACATTCAGGAATGAATATAAGGGTCATCACCTCTGGTAAAGGACCAAGACAAGCTAAGTTGCTTGCTGAATACTGAGGAATACAGAATAGGTCACACAAGTTGTTCTAAATACAAACTATCTCCCCATGATCAGCTACAGAAATGAGGACTGCAATAGTTAATTCCTAGTATTATCCCCTGTAATGTTGATATACTTAGTGTTGGTCAAGCCTTGTTAAACCTGTCAATGTGTTCCAGATGTGAAATATTAGGAGTAAGCATCATGGAAAGGAAACATCCTTTCTATATTGGGCAGGCGAATTACAGTATTTCCATTTGTATGCAGGACAGGTATAACATGCTAGATTTATTTATGAACTCATCTTTGTATCTGGAAACTGTGCTTTAAGGAAATGTGAGTATACCTAACTACATTTGCCCAGAAAATATGGCTGTGGAAGACCTACCCTAGAACAGATTGTTGCTAGAATGTTGAAAGAAAGAAAGAAAGAAACAAACAAACAAACAAACAAAGACTTATGTGTGTTTCTGTGGAGGAGCTCTAGTGTTCACTATCATGCTGGCTTCCAGCACTGACTCTTCAGCCTCCAGCTCAGACCATCAATCTTCAGGCACAGACCTTTAGGTCTCTAACACAGACTCACATGGGACATTGTGGTGTGCTCCTGGGCTTAAACTAGATTTTTTTGCATATCCAGTGCAATGAGAAACATTTAGCACTCTACAACATCTGAGTTTGTGCACAGATACTGCAGGCAATCTATTAAGTTGTGAAAAATTTGTATATCAGATAAAACCTGTTTCTCTCGTAATCACTGACTGTATTACAAATCATGATATCCTTTATTAGAAAAGCCATGGTGAATCTGATGTGTCACAATCAGAAACTCACAGCAATATGGTTTATTATTTGGTATTAATTGTGGGCAAATCACCATAAATTAAATCTTTAATAGTATAAGCATGAAAATTAAAATGGCGATGGTAAAAATCAAAATTTTGGTCTAGGAATTTAGCTCAGCGGCATAAACACCTGCCTTGCAAGCACGCGATCATGAGTTCGATCCCTGGTACTGATAAAAAAAATCAAAATTTTATGTAAATCATATTATTGACTTTAACATGAAAACAAAATAGGTGGAATTATGTGCTTTATAAAATACAATTGTTAAAAAATATGCAGATACCTAATAGGATATAAAAACAAAACATTTGCTAATCTAAAATTTGTATTCAAAGAAACTTTTAAAAAATACACATACACCCTTTCTCTAAATATGTATACTCTGACATATATAAAATAAATCAAATTCAAGATTATACTTTTGTGTTGGAGAGCATTGAAGCTGAATACACATACATGTGCAGGGCTGCAGCATGGCCCAGGCCTATCTTGCCCCCTGAGAACGAAGAGATGCCTCAGGGGGCAAGATAGGCCACAGCTGAGAACACACAGAAACTTTCTGGATAGTTTTCCTTAATTAGCATCTTCTGTTGCTGAGAGGTCCTTGAGCCCCTCCCAAGATCCTGCTCAGGTTTCCTCCACTGTCTGCTCAACTCCTTACTTGTTCTGATTAAATACAGGCTGCCTAGTGTCAGTCAGCTGGCCAGCTAGCAGAGTTACAAGTTCTGCTGAGGATTTCTCTCCTCCTGCAACCCTGAAGATCATGCTGCTTGTCTTATTCCTTTGAGCCTTCACTATGCACCCATTTGGGAAACTGGAAGTCTTGGTATAGACCCCAACATTTTTGTATACAGAATATGAAGTATATACACTAAGAAAATGATACTGGCCAAGCCCAATTAAAAAACTATTAATACAATTTTATTTTTAGCAGCATATACTTTCCAATACTAAAAACATAAAACCAAAACTACATAGATATTAAACCTACTCAGAAGTGAGAAATACATTTCAATTCACCATGTTTTATTAGAAGACATTATATATTAAGTTCAAAAACTACGACTTACACAAAAATATACTATGTCAGGCTGCATATACATAGTTCAGTTACTTTCAAGTTATTTACTGAAAAACTGTGGATCATAGGTTAACTTAACTAGTTTAACCTGAGATAACCAGTGTTTATGTGGTGTAGTAGGCCATAGGATTGTTCTGGAGGAAGTCGTACAAATGCGTTGGTTAAGGTATTTAAGGTCTTGAGTCTCATGCTGGGACAGCATGAGATGTGCTACTAAGATGTGTCCAAAAGAATGGCAAACATTGTTCCTGGGATAGTTAAAAAACTAAGTTTTTACTTATCTGTACCTTACCCCTGCTTCTGCTTTTTGTGAAAAAGACTCTAATAAAAAAACAAAGAGAGCTGTAATTGGGGCTTCATTCCTAGAGGCTGTGGCCCCCAGATCCCTTTGTCTCTCTTGCTTTCTTTTTATCCACCACAACTCATTGTTGGGATCTGTCTCTTCACAGAAACCAGCAAAAAAACAAAACAAAACAAAACAACAAAGAAAACATTCTCAGAGATCTCAATCTGGAATTATATTTTCTGGAAAATTTGTAATATTGATACGAAATTTTCATTTATAGGTGTGCACATCTCCAATACCTGAGGAATTTTGAATGTTTTTTCAAAATAGGGTTATATATAGTCACTCTCCAGTCACTGGAGAGTATTGGTACCAGGGATCAAACTCATGATCTCATGCTTGCCAGGCAGGTGCTTATGCCACTGAGCTAAATCCCCAGCTCTTCAGTGACTTCTTTCAGTTTAATAAATGGATTCACAGACTACTTCCCCCACATTGTTGATACACATAGGGTTCCTCCTCAGTGTGAGATCCATGTATATAAATGAAGACTTACTAGTAAATCTTTCCACGACTCACATGTATATATTTTCTTGTTTTTGTGAGTTTTCATATACTTTGCAATATTTGGTGTGTGGTGTGTGCTTTCCCACATTGCTTGAACATAATAAGATTTCTCTCCTGTGAGTTCTTTCATGTTGTTTAAAATGATTCTTTGTAAGGAATGCTTTGCCACATTGCTTATACACATAAGGTTGCTTTTCAGTGTGGGTTGTTTCCAGTAGTTGACAATATTGGTGTGTAATGAGTACCTTTTCACACTGCTTGTATACTCGTGATTTCTCCCCAGTGTGATTTTGTTCATGTCTTTCATAGTATTTCTAATGTTTTTCTACATTGCTTGCACACATAAAGTTTCTCCTGTGTTAGCCTTTTCATGCATGCTACAATATCTTTTAGTGAATCTTTCCACATTGCTTGCACACATGAGGTTTTTCCCATGAGTTCTTTCATGTATGCTCAAAGAATAACTTTGTAGTGAATGCCTTCCCATAAAACTTGCACACATAAGGTTTCTCCCCAGTGTGAGTCCTTTTGTCTTTGACAAGATACATGTGTAATGACTGCCTTTCCACACTGCTTGCACACATATGGTTTCACCCCAGTGTGACTTCAGTCATGTACTTTATAGTATTTCTTTGTAGGGAATGCTTTTCCATATTGCTTACATGCATAGGGTTTTTCCCCACAGTGAGTTTTTTCATGTATTTGACATTGATTGCATGTAGTGAATGCCTGCCCACAGAACTGGCACATCTAAGGTTTCTCCCCTGTGTGAATTTTTTTTTACACTATGCTTACTGATGTCAGAACCTGTGTGAATTTTTTATGTATGTTAGAATAAGTCTTTGTAGTGAACATTTTTCCACATTGCTTACATGCATAGTGTTTCTACTCCATGTGAATATTTTCAAGAATTTTACAACTTTGAGTATTGAAAGTTTTTTCATTTTGCTTATTTACATATTTTTTTCTCAGTGTAAATTCTTTCATGGAATTCAAAACCACTGGGGGTGGTGGAGGCTTTCACACTTTTCTGACCAACAACTGTCTTCTCTCCAGAGTGAGTTCTTTCACTAAGTTCAGAGGATTTCCCACATTTCTCTTCTTGATAGGGTTTCTCTTGATTCTTTGTCTTGTCATGGTTCTGAAAGGAATCAAAACCACTACAGATTTTTTGATGTTCATTACATTTACTCAGTTTGTCATCAAATTCCAAATTCTCCTGTAGTTTCTCTTCAGAGTGAGGTAAGATGGACACACTTAATGATAAATTCCCAATCAAGGTCTCTCCACAAACAAGATTTCCAGCTGGCTTTAAAGCAGCTTGTTGCATGTATACTTTAGCATCTGAAGTCCAAAGGATTGTGTTTTCACTTTGATTACAAGTTTTATATTGATAACATTTTGTGACCTCTTCATTTCTAAAAAGAAACAAAATATCAATCACAATAAGAAGGTCTCCATATCAATTTACCAGGACAAGTTCTGGCTTGATGCCTGCTAAGAAATTTTCAGGATGAATAGGCTGAAAGCCCTGAAGGATGCCTTCAAAACACTCATTTCCGAAAGGATGGTATTCATTTGGAAATACTAAATTGGTATATGTTTGTCATACAAAACGTCAAGTTTCTTGTAAGTCACTGATACTCATGTGTATCAGATATCAATCATTTTTGACAGCTATACCCCAACACTGTCTGTTTCAACCTCTTCTTAATTTTATTCCCTATTAGTATTGTATTTTAGTATTTCATATAAAAGGAAACAATTCACTTTTTTTTTTTTTTTTTTTTGGTATAGAGGGTCGAATTCATGACTTGGTGCCTACCAGGCAGGCGCTGTGCTGATGAGCTATAACCCCAGCCAATAATTCACCTACTGGTTTTGACTTATTTCATTTGACACTGAGGTGGAGTCCCATTATTTTTATTATTATTCTTTGCCAGAAGATATGACATTCTCCTTTTTATTTGGTAAATATATATAGCACATCTTTTATAGTGATGAGAATTAAACAAGGGTCTCCACCATACAATACACTTCTAATATTTTTTAATTTCTTATTTGGAGATTGTCATAGTTCCTTCATTTGGCAGTGTGGACTTTATGTTGTTACCCTGCTGGCTCAGCCTCCTAGAATGCTGGGATTATCATAAGCACCTCCATGCTGAACCCATCCCATGTTCTCCTTTTCCATGCAAACACTGATTGAAATCTACGCTGTTTTTGGGCTTAGGTATTGTGAATAATTTCCCATGCACACCCTGCTTTAAGCATAAGTACATATGTATTACTAGGACAAGATACTTTTAAACTGTTTCAGAACATATACAGGGAGTTTTGCCTGGATCAAATGCAAACATTTATTTTTACTTATTGAGACATCTATATAATGAATATAAAAATAGTACTTTTATATACTTACCAATAATGTATGAGGGTGCATTGTAAGAATTTTAAAACATGAATGCACACAATTATCTGGAGGATGTTTTCAATCATTAACACTAGCATTTATGTGCATTTTTAATGTTGCTTCCATGTTAGCAAGATTCAGTTCACGTATAGCTTATATACATCCATAAAAATAAACAGATAACTTGAAGATGAGTTCCTGCTCAAGTTGAAGATATATCTTTTCATATGTATAAATATACAATACATAAATCCAACTTCATATATTTTCATGATGCTGTGAATGAAATGTTTTATACCAATGTTTGAGATAGTGTTTCTTGTTGCATAGTGTCACTTGATAAATTAGTTTCCTATAGTGGAGTATTTCTCTGTTCAACTGTAAGATTATATAAAATTAACCTGTATACATATTGGAAGAATTTTGTGATATTAAATAAATTTGGTTTTTTGGTTTTTTTTCATTTTTCGTATTTTTATCGGTACCAGGGATGGAACTCAAGACTGCCTGCTTGCAAGGCAGGCGCTTATGCTGCTGAGCTAAATCCCCAGCAATATTAAATAAATTTGAACATACCAGGATTTGTAGATTCCTTGTAGTATTTCTGATCATACACCATCACTTTAGAGGTATTGCCTTTCCTAATGAAAGCAAATTACCTTAGATTTCTTGAGCAGTTTTTATAGTCTTCTTCAATTTTTTGGTTATCACAGATCCCTCCTGAATTGTAGCCATAGAAAAAGTCACTGTATCATTTTATAAAAATAAGCTGTTGGGCTGGGGATTTATCTCAGTGGTATAAGCGCCTGCCTTGCAAGCAGGCAGTCATAAGTTCGATCCCTGGTACCGATAAAAAAAAAAATTAGCTGTTAGCAATTAGATTCATGGTATAAAGTTAACGGCAGTGAAATTTTGTTCAAAATGTTTTCCTGTTCTATTTACTGAATCTGTATCCAGCAACAAGAAGCATAGCTCTCCACTGAGTATATAAGAATATGATGTCATCCTTACCTACAGCATTTATATTCATCAGTGTTTCCCTCATCACATCTCGGTAGCTTCTTCTGGGATGGGTTGAGCAGAGCCTACTCCTCGTGGGTGAACTTCAGCTACATCCTTTCAGGTCACTGCCTCCTAAAGAATGACATACGTATTTCCTAAAGAAGGTTCACACTGGAGCAGGGGATTTAGCTCAGCAGCGTAAGCGCCTGCCTTGCAAGCAGGCAGCCATGAGTTCGATCCCCAGTACCGATAAAAACAAAAAAGACAAAAAAAAAAAGAAGGTTCACACTCAAATCCTGAGAACTTGAGCTCTTCCTGTAAAACCTCAGTGGAATTTGTTCCCTCAAATATCAACTCTGTCATCTCAAAAAAGACATTTAAATTACTACATGTATGTTATATAATCACTTTACAATACATGTGTATGTTTATTGAATGGCCCAACATATACCACATAAAATACATCTGTGAATACAAGCATTCTTCTGTAACACTCTACTGAAAGATGACATTTTTGGTGTAAAATTTTCATCTCATATAATACAGTGATGTCATCATGATGACTATAAAAATTTTCTATGTTGTTCTTGGTCTCCAGTTTCTTTGGAAATTTCTAATTTTTACCTCTTAACATTCTAGGAGTTCTACTTCTAAGACAACCATAACTGATAAAAAAAAAAAAGTTGCCTACTTCAAACTATCAATATTGTCCCTGATTGAGCCTATGTTGTGGACATCCTAAACATGATTAATGATCGTTTTCATGATGAAAATGCTAAGATTCTCTTTAGTAGCTTCTCTAGCTTTCTAATGGAGGGCAATGTCAATTTTTTTACAAACTTTCTTCCAACTCTGACATGTTAAATATTTCATGAATATCCCTACTAACCCCAATAGACAAGCAACTAGAGAATGTGCTGGTGACTTACTAAAAATTAAATGTATAATATGAAAAAGGGGAAAATGGGTCAAAACTTTACATTTTTAAAACTATAATTCAAAAGGTTCATAGCAGAACAGATAAGCTATCACTCAGCTGAAGACTCTGTAAAGCACACAAATTTTCTTTATTCTTGAAAATCTGTTTGTTACAAAGATCATGTAAATCACTTGTACCTCCAAAATTTAAAAGGTAAAATGGCCTTTTATCTTTCTCAGTTTGCTTATGTGTATACCTCAAATACTGACATGTATTATTGAGCACACATACTTCCCTCACTTGTCTTAGATATAGTTACACTGGAAAATTGTTTTTAAAAACCAACTCTTCTTCCGGGAGAACATGGTGGACAGATAGCAGCAGCTACGGAGGCTCTCTGAAAGACCCAGCTTAGAATTCTGGAATGGTGTGGAGTAAGGAATCATAAGCAAGAGGAGATATGCCCTGCTGACCCAAGAATGAACTGGGCTGAGAGAAACCAACTGGGAATGCAATCCTGGTGCTATAACAGGAACAGAAAAGCCATAGTGTGGAAGCTGCAGCCCGCACCATTGGAAGCCGTGATTTGGGTTTCCCACCACCACTGCTGCGTCTACATCGGCTCGGCAGGGAGAAAGACGCAAGAAAGCTCTGAGAAAGGGAATCGGTGAACGGAGTTGAAAGCAGGACGGGCGGGGAGCTGTGCATTGACCTGCAGTGAGTGAGAGAAACTGGGACTCTTCCATGGTCTAGGAGACTCCAACAGAGGACATTCTGGGACCGGGCAGACTTGCGGGAACAGGGCGCTGCAGTGACTTCAGTCACATATCCCTCTCTCAAGTGGGATTGGTGAACAGTGCCTGGCCTATGTGATGCTGCTGGCTGAGACCCAGTAGGCTAGCACAACCCAGGTCCCAGCGCCTGAAGTTAGACTGACCTAGAGGGGCAAGCCTCACATAGGCTGCCTGGTCTGCAAATTCCTGGTGCGCAGCAATGGGCGGGAACACCTAGCCGGTGCAATTCAATCAGACTGTGGCCAACAGGGAATGAAGCTGGGCCTCCTATATACGCTTGCATATATAAGGAACAAAGAATATGGGAAGAGGCAGCAACAAGAAAGGGTCCTTGGCCCCCAATCCTGAGAAAGAGGCAATAGCAGACACAGCACCAATAGATATAAAGCGCTATCTCCAGAGCCTCATGGACAAGTTCAGGAATGAAGTTATTAATGACCTGAAGCTAGACATAAGCAGAATAGTTAGAGAAATGCTAAGCACCAACCAAAAAAAAGATGGTGGAATGGAAGAACAGAAAAAGAGGGGAGAATTATTTGATGGAGAAAATAGAGAAAGCATAGAATACATGAAACAGGTTCAAAGAGATTACCAGGAAACTAAAAACTCTATCGAAAACTGGCATAACAGCTTGAAAGAAACTAAGGACAGATTATCTGAACTGGAGGGCAGAACTGTAATATCGGAGGATGAAATGAAAAACTTCTTAAAAATAAAGAAACAAACAGCAATAATACAAAGACTAGAAGATGATAAGAGAATCTATAACCTAAGAATTAAGAACATAAAAGAAGAAGTAGGGACACAAACAAATGAACTACAAAAGCTACTCACAGAAATAATCCAGGAGAATTTTCCTAATTTAGCAAAAGGTAAAGATACTCAGTTGTATGAAGCATACAGGACCCCAGCCACCTACAACCCCAACAGAGCAACACCCAGGAATATAATAATTAAAATTCCAGAAATCCAATACAAGAACAGAATATTAAAAGCCGTCAGAGACAAGAAACAGATCTCTTACAAGGGAACACCCATCAGAATTACAGCAGACTTCTCTGCACAAACCATCAAATCACGAACTGTTTTGTTCAATTTTATTATAACTGATGATATAGGCAATTCTATTAGAGATAGCGGGAGGCATTATGGTAACCATTGTTGATCACCTTGTATTATGCTTTTACATTATCTATTATGTCCACCCTTTTGATTTGACTGACTCTGTTCTGTTATGTCACATTTGGTTCTACTCTCTTCCAAAAAAGTAATAAGAACTGTGGGAGCAACAAAACCCAAAATGTGTAATTGTCATTATACAAAAGAGAGGAAAAGAAAGTGCTCTAAACGATATAACTGCATGTATATTTAAGTGTATAAGACAGATAATGATATTACTGAATTTTGTTGGATCATTGAACAGAACTGTTTGCAATCTCACTGTTGGAATGTCCACTTTATAAGCTTTAATTTTGTAACTTGAACAATTATTTCTAAGATGACAATATGTAATCCATTAACTAGTGATTTCCTACTGTTTATTTTTTTCTGTAAATCTGTATAACTTGTACCCTTTCTCTTTTTTTTTTCTCCTTAAATGAAATAAAAAAAACACAACTCTTTCCTCTAATAAAAACTTATATACAGATGAAACTTACTTGACACATCCTGACACTTAAGGAACTGTGGGAAGAATAATGACAACTCTGGCTATTCCAAAATTCTAGGCCTGTACCCCCAAACCTGTCATTTCCAGACAAAAGAATTTCTATTCCATGCAGTCCAAATATCAGATAGTAGTTACTGGATTATTTTCTCTAACAGAATAATATTTAAATATATATATATGTAAATACTCTCATGTATTATTCATAATACACTATTCATACAAGAAACCAATACTTGACTGCTAATTCAATGCATGGCTGCCAATCAATCTCTTGAGAGAATAGATATTTTATTTTAAAAAATCAGTACTTACACAAATCCCCACACTTAAACTTCCTAGGCAAAAATATTTTCTGGATATGCACTATGTGACAGCTACAGCAAAAACTCTTCAACCACACCTTAACTCATTCCACTCAAAGTGTTCAAACTATGCACAGGTATTTTTAAGTATAACTCTGAACAGCTAATATAGATGAACAGTGATTTTTAAAAAGTTATAATATCTCTGGTCATTCGAGAGATGCAAATTTAAAACAACACTGATATTTCACCTCACTACAAAAATGCTTATCTGTTTTTGGGAACAATAATGTAACACAAAGTAAAATTCATAATAAAGTGCTAAATACTTCATGTACCTTGTTGAACATAATGTACTTTAAAAATCTGTTTGTGTTAGGGCTGGGAATTTAGCTCAGCAGCATAAGCGCCTGCCTGAGTGCGTGGACAGATTATAATCCAATCTTGTAAATGCTTATATATTTTTGTATATCTCATTTGAACACCTCTTATGCATTGTGTATATCTCTAGTAAGCACTCTGATAACAGTATTACAGAGCATAATATACTTTATTAGTGAAAGCATGGTCTTCAGATGTGTGACAATCAGAATCTTGCAGAAATGTGGTTTATTTTTTGGTGTAAACTGTTGTTAAATTAGCACCAAACTAATGGTCAAAAAAACAAGCATGAAAAGTAAACTGTCGATTGTAGGAAAACAGATTTTATGTCACTCATAGTATTGACTTCAACATGAAAGCAAAATGGGTGAAATTATTTGCTTTATGTAATATATTTATGTTGAGATGTACACAGGTATCAAGTTAGGAAATAACACATAAAACACTTGCTAGTCTACAAATTGTCTATAAACAAAGGGACTTTAAAAAATACATACTCCCCTGTCTCTAAATGTGCATGTTTATATATACAACATGGAATTCAAAATTATCTCTTTGTATACACAATAGGGGTTGTATACACCAAGAAAATTACAATCAAATATAGTAGAAATTCCAATTTTAAAAGTTATTATTACAATTTAATTTTTTAGCAGCCTACACTTCATTATAGTAAGAAAACAAAATTAAAACTACATAAACACTAACCCTACTTGGAAGTGACAAATACATTTCATCATGTTATAAGATATATATTAAGTTCACAAAGATAATGGTTTATATAAAAATATATTACTTAAATAGTTTCTAATAAGACTAAAGATATAGTTCAGTTACTTACAAGTGATTTATTAACACAGAAAAAGTACATACCAGGAGACCTCAACCTTTATCCTGGAGTGGAGTTTCAGAAAAACCCATGAAGAAATATTGACATCAAATTTTTCATATGTGTACAATACTCCACTACATGAGGAATTTTTGCCATTTCTCAAAATTGGTTTACATATAAAGGGTCACTCTCCAGTGTGACTTCTTTCATGTTATTGACTTTTTAAAAAAAGTATTCACTGCATGTTTTCCCATTGTTCATACATATAGGGTTCCTCTCCAGTGTGGGGTCTAGGTGTACAAAATGAGTAACTAGCAAGTCTTTATTCACAGGACTCATATGCATATGGGTTTTCCTGTGTAAGAATTCTTTGTAGTGAATGCCTTCCCACATTATTTGCACACATAGCATTTCACTGCAGTGTGACTTGTTTCATGATTTAGAGAACATTGGTATATAATGAATGCCTTCCCACGTTACCTACACACGTTTTCTAACCTGTATGACTTTTTTCATGTAGTTTATGATAATATTTTGTAGTAAATGCTTTTCCACAATGCATGCACACATAAGGTTTCTCTCCAGAGTGAATTCTTTCATGAATTTGACAATATTGGCGTGTAGTGAATGCCTTCCCACATTGCTTGCACATGTAAGGTTTCTCCCCACTGTGAATTTTTTCGTGTCTTTTATAATTACTCCTTTCAGTGAATGCCTTCCCACAGTGCTTGCACACATAATACTTTTTCCCAGTGTGCGTACTTTCATGTATTTGACAAGACTGGTGTGTAGTGAATGCCTTCCCACATTGCTTGCATACAAAAGGTTTCTCCCCAGTGTGAATTCTTTCATGTACTTGACAATAATGGCGTGTACTGAATGCCTTCCCACACTGCTTGCACACATAAGGTTTCTCTCCAGTGTGAGTTCTCTCATGTCTTTTGTAATTACTCTTTTGAATGAATGCTTTTCCACATTGTTTACACACATAAGGTTTTTTCCCAGTGTGTGTACATTCATGTTCTTGACAAGATTTGTGTGTAGTGAATGCTTTCCCACATTGCTTGCACATGTAAGGTTTCTTCCCAGTATGAATTCTTTCATGTCTATGACAAGACTGGTGTGTGGTGAATGTCTTCCCACACTGCTTGCACATGTAACATTTCTCCCCAGTGTGAGTTCTTTCATGTATTTGACAAGATTGTTTGGTAGCAAATGCCTTCCCACATTGCTTGCACACATAAGGTTTCATCCCGGTGTGTGTACTGCCATGCACTTGACAAGATTGGTGTGTATTGAATGCCTTCCCACATTGCTTGCACACATAAGGTTTCTCTCCAGTGTGAGTTCTTTCATGTATTTGACAAGACTGATGTGTTGTGAATGCCTTTCCACAGTGCTTGCACATATAGGGTTTCTGCCCAGTGTGAATTTTTTCATGTATTTTGGTATAAGTCTTTGTAGTAAATGTTTTTCCACATTGCTTGCACATGTAAGGTTTTACCCCACTGTGAGTTCTCTCATGTACTTGACAAGACTGCTGTGTAGTGAATGCCTTTCCACACTGTTTGCATACATAAGGTTTCTTACCAGTGTGTGTACTTTCATGTATTTGACAAGACTGGTGTGTAGTAAATGTCTTTCCACATTGCTTGCACATATAAGGTTTCTCCCCAGTGTGAGTTCTTTCATGAATTTGACAAGATTGGCGTGTAATGAATGCCATCCCACAGTGCTTGCATATATAATTTTTCTCCCCTGTATGAAACTTTTCATGTATATTCGAATAAGTCTTTGTAGTAAATGCTTTCCCACAATGCTTGCACACATAAGGTTTCTTTGCACTGTGATTTCTTTCATGTATTTGACAATAACTGTGTCTGGTGAAAGCTTTACCACACGTTTTACACATATAAGGTTTCTCAGCAGTATGAGTACTTTCATGGCTTCGACACTGGGTGTATCTGCTGAATGATTTCCCACATTGCTTATATATATAGGGTTTCACCCCATTGTGAATTCTTTCATGTCTTTGGCAACAACTTTGCGTGTGGAATGTTTTTCCACACTGCTTACACACATAGAGTTTCTCCTCCTTGTGATTCCTTTCAAGTGATTTAGAACTTTGAGTACTGAAGTTTTTTCTGTATTGCTTGCATATATATAGTTTCTTTCCAGTGTGAATACTTTCTTGAATTTGAAAACCACTGTGGGTGGTGGAGGCTTTCACACTTTTATGACCTATCTTGGTCTTCTTTCTAGGCTGAGTTCTTTCACTAAGTTCAGAGTAGCATTTCATGCATTGCTCATAATGATAGGTTTTCTCTCCATCCTTTGTCCTTGCATGCTTCTCAAATGGCTGGAGATCACTGCAGGATTTTCTGTGTTCATTACATTTATTCAGCTTGTCATCAAATCCCAAATACTCATGTGGCTTCTCTCCAGTATGAGGTAAGATTAGTACTTTTAATGATAAATGCCCAATCAGGGAGTCTCTCCAAACAAGATCTCTGGCTGGCTTTAAAGCAGCTTTTTTCATGTTCACATTAGCTTCTGATGCGTGAAGAAATGTGTTTTTATGTTGACTAAATGTTTTATATTGATAGTATTTTGCTACCTCTTCATTTCTATAAAGAAACAAAATATCAATCACAATATAAAGGTTTCCATATCAATAATTTACCAAGACAAGTTCTGGCATGATATCTGCTAAGAAACTTTCTGAATGCATAGGGTAAATACCCTGGAGGATGCCTCCAAAAGCACATTCCCCAGAAGATGGTATTCATTTGGCAATTTTAAGTGGGTATACATTTGTAATACTTGAGGTCTAGCTTCATTTAAGTCATTGAAATATATGTGTATCACACATTTATCATTTTTGACATTTTTCCCCATGATTCTCCCCTTCTATCTCTTAAAATTATACCCTAATTTGTATTTTAGTACCTCATATAAAAGGAAACATTTGATAACTCACTTTCTGTTTCTGATTTAGATCACTGAACATTTTAAGGCAGAGTCCCATCTTTCTTTCTTTTTTTTTTTTTTTTTTTTTTTTTTTTGCCAGAAGATAGGATATTCTCATTCTTTTTTAGCTGAGTACATGTAGCAGATATTTTTTTTCCCAGTGGTGAGAATTTAACAAGGGTCTGAGCAATAAAATACATTTCTAGCTTTTAAGTTACTTATATTGAGAGAGATTCTCATTGCTCATTCATTTGGTCAGGGTGAATCACATGTTGTCGTCCTGCTGCTCAGCTTCCCAGAGTGCTGGGATTATCAGAAGCACCATCATGCTGAGCCAACCCCACATTCTCCTTTCCCATGCAAACAGTGCTTCACACCTAGGCTGTTACCAGAGCTTAGGTGTTGTGCATTATGTCCAGAACTTAGCTGTTGTGAAAATCCATGGATACTCTGCTTTGGGCATAAGTACATAGACATCACTGAGATATAATATTTTTAAATCCTTCCTTTCAGAATATACATAGGGAGTTTTTCCTATGTATATAATATAAAGCAAACTTTATATTTTTAGTTTTTAAGACATCTGTATATGGAATATAAAACTGATTGGTTTTTTTTTTTCAATTTTTTCTTTTTCTCTTTTTATTGGTACCGGGGATCGAACTCACAACCGCCTGCTTGCAAGGAAGGTGCTTATACCGCTGAGCTAAATCCCCAGCCCCTAAAACTCATTGTTTTATGTTCCTTCTACATGAGGATGCATAACAAGAATTTTACAACATAAACACACATAATTCTTGGAAGTTGTTTTCATATATCTATTAATATACTAGAAATTATATGGATTTTGAACCCATATGAATTGCTTCCAGGTTAGCAATTTGTTTAGATAACATATACCCGATATTCATATATATACATAGACAAAGACCATGAAGATGAGTTCTTGTCAAAGTTCAAGATGTATTCTTTTCACATATGCCTATATACAACATCTAAATGAAATTTCATAAGTTTTTATGATGTTAATCATGAATTTTTTGGTACCAATGCAATAGTGTCTCTAGTTATATAATGTCACCTCTAAGTTTCCTGTATTGAAATAGTTCTACATTCAAGTATAAGACTATATAAAACCTGTCTCAAGCTTGCCCATCTTTATGGCAAAGTACTATCCATTGTATAAAAACCCCAGATCTTCATTATCCATTCACAAGTCAAAGGAAATTTGGGCTATTTTCAAGATGTATCTATTATATACTGTGCCTGTATCAATGTGAGTGTATATATATCACTGTCATATAAAAACCTATATGTATGCATGTAGGAAAAACTTTTGTAAAATTAAATAAATTTATACATGGTATGACTATACGTGGTAGTTTCCCTGTAATATATCAACTCTCTGATCAACACTTGAGAAATATTCCTTTTTCTTATGAATGCAAATTACCTTAGAGTTCTTGGGCAATTTTTGTATTCTTCTTCAATTTGTTGGTTATTCCAAGTCCCTCCTAAATTGTAGCCATTGAAATACAAAAAGTCACCATATCAGTATGTAACAATCACTGGATGTCAGATTCATGGAATAATATAAACATGCTTGAGATATTTTCAAAAAGATTTCATATACTATTTAATAAATCTAATCTCATCAAAAACTAATGTTGCCTCACTATATAGTGATAAAATATCATTCTTACCTATAATGTTTATATTCCTAAATGTTTCCCACATCACATCTCTGTAGAGCTTCTTCTGGGATGGATTGAGCAGAGCCCACTCCTCCTTCGTGAAGTTCACAGTTACATCCTCCATGCTCACTGCCTCCTAAAGAATCACATGTGTATTTCCTGAAAAAAGATTCACACTCATAGCCTGACAGCCTGCACTCCTCTTATAAAAGCTGAACTGAGATTGCTCCTTCAAATATAAACTCCATGTCTTTGTCACCAAACCCAGGTGAATAGTTTCACACACAATTCTGAAGATGGCACAACAGAAGCCCTGGTTTCCTGGCAGGCTCACAGGAAACATGTCTGTGTGTTGCTGCCAAAGCAGAGTTCAAGGAGCAGCCTACAAATCACCATTCGCAAAAAGAGGCTAGACAAATATCTAATGAAGAATTGCAACAGACCATAGATTATACCACTTTTCAAATCTGATTACTCGTAGAATTAAATCATTCATCCTAGTATTGTTCAGAGGCAGCATTTTGAAATCTGAATCATTTTTCAGAAAAAAACCTTAATAAACATTAACATATATGCATTTTTGCCCATATTTACACTTCGCATTTTTGCCTGTATTTACACATCTCATTTTTCACTTGAGAAATCATGATATTTACATGTGAGCCCAATTTGTTTCACTTGACAGTGTGACCTCAAAGTCCACCCACATTAGATAGAAATGTCTCAAGCTTGTCCATCTTTACAGCAAAGTACTATCCATTGTATAAAAACACCAGATCTTCATTATCCATTCACAAGTCAAAGGAGATGTGGGCTATTTTCAAGATATACCTATTACATACTGTGCCTGTATAAATATGAGTGTATAAATATCATTGTCATATGAAGTTTTTAATTTTGGGGGGCAAGAACAAGAAAAACAATTGCTGGATCAAATGCATTCTCTAGGTTTGTTTTTTGAGAAATCTGCAAAGAAAATGTTTCAATAAATGGGGGGCGGGGAAATGGACAGGTAGGGGAAGGAAAGAAGGTACAAGACAAAAATAGAAGCAAAAAAAGACGACAGTTTTAAAAATAAAGAGGGGAAAAGTGTTTAATAGTAAGGGAGGAGAGTTGGTGAAAAAGAAGCAAGATACAATATGTCTAATTATGAATTCCCAAGATAAATGTCATTACTATGTATACCTAAAACCTATTGATAAAAAAGAAAAAGAATTTCTACAAATAATATTAACATGCTAATAAAAAAAGCAGTATTCCTGTAGAAATTCTATGGGAAAAAAATGAAAAAGAAAATAGGGGTAGTGCGGCATAGTATGATGTTGTATTCAGATTATAAGAAATCCTACCACTGTTTCTGTGAGATTAATAAAGGGAAGGATGTGAACATATTAAACACATTAAAAATGAAGATATCACAAAGTAATTAGGCATTAATTACAAAGGGAAACTTCAGCCAGGTGTGCCGGTACAAGGCTGTAATCCTAGCACTTGGGAGGTTGATGCAGGAAGACTTCCAGGAGTGTCATGATGGCCAGGATTTCACAGTCCAGCCCAAGCCAGAAGGTAACCTCAAGGCCAGTAAAGGTTTATTGTATTTTTTTAACTGAGATGAAACTCATGACCTTGTGCTTGTCACACAGGCACTGTGCCACTGAGTCATATCCCCAGCCATAATCAACCCTCTTTTTTCTTTGTGGAGGAGGTACCGGAAATGTGACTCAGGCCCCTGTGTTTGCCAGGTAGCAACTGTGCCTGCTGAGCTATACCCCCAGCCCCAATAAGTCAAGTTTTACAGTGAGACTCTTTTTGAACTAACTCCACAAAAGGAAAACAAAGAAAATATTGTATCACTTACAAGTCACTCCTTTGTTCTGTTTGAAAAATTTCAACTGCAAAGTATACCAGAAGACTGAAAATATTCAGCACCTCCTGTGCAAGATGATACCTTGCATACTATACTGAAAATACGTATGTTACATCTTTTGTGATTAGTAGAGAGAATAACAAAATGGATCTCAGAAAAGAAAGGCAGTCTTCTGCAGTTCCACATGTAAATAGAATAGTGATTAATGATGCAGCTAGTGTTAAACACATCCAATAGTAATGACACTTTTTTATTTATGCTTACAGAGAAATAGGTATGTACCTGGAAATCTAAATTGTATCCTCTTCTATTTTATGTACATTAAGTTACATCCTGAAAAGGGAAAGATAAATTCCAATGCCTTAGAATGTTACAGTGAGGGGCTGGGGATTTAGCTCAGCCATATAAGCGCCTGCCTTGAAAGCAGGCAGTCTTGAGTTCGATGCCTGGTACTGATAAAAACGAAAAAGACCAAAAAAAAAAAAAAAAAAAAAAAAAAAAAAGAATGTTACAGTGAAATAAATTTTAGATATGACAACAAAGACTTTCCTCAGTGAATGGTAGCCATCAGTTGAAGTCTAGGAAAACAATAGCAGATAAGCAAAACAAGACTAGCATATTAGCTTTGTGTAGAATGCAAATATTTTGTATAAAGAATAAAGATCAATGAACACAAATCCATAAAATATGCAAGACATATCACTCAAAAGAAACATTGAATATAAAACAATACCAAATCTGCAAAGTATCAAGAAAAAGTGAGGTGTGGAAGAATTCAGTAGGACTTCTACAAGGTGAGAGAACCGACTGATAGCACTACACACTCATCTCTTTTCCATTCAAGTCTGCCAAAAGCAATGGAACAGTGACTTTGTTCTAATTTCCAGAGAATACATTGTGTTATTATTGTTGTAGATGGATGTGATTATTGTTAAGTAAACTTGAAAAATATTGAACCTCGTTACCAATAGTATTGATGAGAAAGTACTTTTTCCTTGATTAAGACATCAGCATGTGTGAATGAGACAAATAAAAAGTCCCAGAATTTCCCTGTGCAACTTGTATAATACTTATCAAAAATTACATGAAAAGAAATGAACCAAAATTATTCATGGAAAATCACACTTGGTAAACTGAGGAAAAGTTGCCAAAGAATGAGACTGGTCAAAAATAAGGTAGGCAAAGTTTGAATCAGGTAGGGAATTTATCACATGCATACTCTCATCCTCTGCCCAAAGCCCAATTATGATATGTTTTAAACACACCAAGGATAATTTATACTTATTATCAATAAAATTCACTTAATTTGATGTAAAATATGTAGGTAAAATGACCAATAATAATGGTCATATTCATTTACATATTTGTTTGCCTTTAAACATGAACTGCTGTACAAATGCTGAAATTTTTTATCATCTGCATACCAGTATTTTTTTCTTATCCTAGCAAAATTATTAGTTCACTATCATGTGTAGAAAAAATGACCAGTAACATATTAAACATATTAAACATATAATAGATAATAAATAACATAAACCATCTTTCTTTCTTTCTTTCTTTTTTTTTTTTTTTTTTTTTTTTTTTTTGTTTGGTACTGGGGATCGAACTCATGGCCTTGTGATTCCCAGGCAGGCACTTGTGCCCTAGAGCTAAATGTCCATCCCAAATAAGAGAAAACCAATTTGAAATGACACAAACCCAGAGGCAGTGGAGTGCGGTAGTGAAATATGAAGTTCTCTACAATGTTATACCCACTAGGCTGTCCAACACAAACCTTAAATACTTTTCATCATAATTATAAAGATATATTAATCTTGATTATTCATGCCAATTCAAAATGTTGAAACCACTTAAGATTTTGTGCAAAGCTCCATCTTATGGCCACTTTGTGGGGATTTGTATGAAATTAGGGAAACACTGGAGGTAAACACAGCTCATTTCCTCACCTCCATCATGATTCTATGGATCTTTACATATATTTATAATGAATGTAAAATAAATAATTGCATGTATTACTTTTATTTCTTCATATGTAATAAATATTATGTTCCCTGTTAAACTAAGAAAACCATAATCTTATGGTGAAATCTTGAAAAGCAATTCTTAAATTCTTATAATAACTTGTATTTTAAACAAGCAACTTGTTGCAAAGAAAAAGCAAAAGGGAGGCTGTTGAGGAAGACCCTCCTTCACTGCCCTTCACAAGGGAACCCCCACTCAGAAGGTTAAACATATTTCCAAGGTGGCATAAAATTCTAGTGCGTCTGCAGCTCAGGGTAGCTCAATCAAGATGGTGACAGTGGGAAACATGAAAAGTCAAGAAATTTAGATCTGGGCTACTTTACATCACAATTCACAGGATGAATTGTGCTCTTTTCCAAGGTCTCAGTACTGAGCAGAGACAAGCACCCACAATCAGCTGAAGTTTGATTTTTTGACTTTTCCCAATTTTTATTTCAAAATCATGTGTGTACAGTTTTCTGAGCACTAAGCAATTCTCCAACAAAATGTGGTGTTCCCAAAATCAATGCACTACATAGAATGTTATGTAATTCAGAGCACAATCCTACTATCCTGCTTCAAAAGTAGACTGCTGTCCAAGACACGATGTCTTTCATTACAAGTCATCATTCTTAAGTCCTGAATATGTGGCACAGAGTCACAGCATTAATAGAAATGAATATATTGCCTCAAAGTGTTAAGAAGCTGGTCATCCCTATGGTGCAGAAAAGTATGATAGTCATAGATTTTCTCCTTTAGAATCTAGGGAAAATTTCACTTAAAAATTATACTACACGCAGAACTAAACTCAAATTCACAGCTACTTATCTAGGTACCAAAGAAGTCTTTCAGAATAATCTCAATACATTGTCATGAAAAATGTTTTCTACATTCTTGACATTAAAAGGAATAACCAATGATGTCTTATTTGAACAAGCTCTGTGGTCCTGCTAGGTGTGCTTGCATCTGTGGCCCTATCTGCTTGTTCTCTTTTGTTATAATCCTGATGCCTTTATTTGCTGTTCTGGTGGATGCTTGATATCAAGCCCATGATGATATCAAACCCAGTCTGGGCAACTCACTGCAGCAAGGAAGGAGCACAGAAAAATGGGAAGAGCCACAGACAAATACAATTTTCCAGGAAACTTCCCTAATGAGTTTCTTCCACTCAAGCTTCACTGCCTTGAAGCATACCTTGATGCTGAAAACATCAATGGGGAAGCAGCCAGCTCACTCCCCTGGTAAGCGGCTATGGTGTAGCAGGTTGCAGCCGCCCCAGGGGAAGAACCACCAGCCGTCTCCTGAGATCCGTGCTATGTTGGAACTTAGGACACTGAGAAACCAAGCAACCAGCTTGCCTCCCTGGTAAGTGGCTGTGGTATGGCAGGCTGTGGCCCCTCCACGGGGAGAACCACCAGTGTCTCCTGAGATCCATGTTGGAACTTAGGGCGCTGGGAAAACAAGCAACCAGCCTGCCTCTCTGCTAAGCAATAGTGAGCCTACCAGTGCATGTGCTAAGAGTCAAACATCCCACTTCCCCTGCCCGCCCCATCAGCAAATGGGAACTAGAGATCTGAACATCTCTTAGGAGGTTGACCATATGCAATATAGCAAATAAGGGGGATTTTCTTCTACCATCTCTTTGAAGGCAAATATTTTTACTACTGTTTTGCTTTATTCTGATTAATGGTATTGCTCTATTCAATGTTTTGATAAGTTCTATAATGTTCTGTATTTCATTTTATTTTGCTCTATGTGATTGAAAGAACAACTATTGTGCAGATAACAAGATATACTGTGATACCTATTACTGCTATCCCAGTAACCTGCTGTGAAGTTCTGTACCAATTTCATTACACTGTCTCAACTGGCTTTGTTCTGTCTTGTTCTGTTGTATTTTACTACTTTCAAAATACTAATAATAATAAAAAGAAAATATCAATGGGTGAATTCACCAAAAACTATAAATCTCACATGATCAAATCAAGTTTTAACAGAAAAGAGATTTGAGAGATATTTTACACATAGGCTACAACACCAGGTCTACTTTAAAAGAAAAGAGGAGACACAAGCCAGCCCAGTGTCATTCAAAAACAAACATCACATAAGAATCAGAGGATCCACCAAAAATGTCCAGTTGACAGTGCCTAATATGATGAATTGTGGGGGAGCAGGCCATTAGCTGCCCATGACAGTCATCTCATTTGCATAGCACAGGATGCTGAGGGCCTGGTAGTTTCTCAGGCTCTCCCTGAAAGCCTGAGTAGAACAAAGACACAAAAACAACAGTTGACACACAGGACCAAGACCTCTCAGGTGATGCAGCGGTCTAGGTTCTGCCACGGCTGCTTTTGTCCATATGTAACTGACCTCCCACCTCCAGCACAGCCTCACTCTTTTCTTGGATCACTGAAAGCTGCACATCACTATATTCAGGATTAGGGGTCTCTCAAAGCCCTGTCCATGCAACTTGCCACCAGGAAATGTCACAGAGAGCTTATGCTTTGGGTTCCTGACACAGAAAGATTCCTCTCCATGGACAGTGAGGCTGCTGGGCAGTTCACAAGAATCCAACCAAGCATTTCTCCCTGTGGTTTAACAGGCAGCCTCTTCAGGAAGTTGTCCTTAGCAAAAACATTTTCCCCTCCCTTGGTAATACATTAACAACTCCTCCATCTTCCTCAGCATTCTAAACTCTATAGAAAGCTTCTTTTAAATACCATAAAAGTAAAGAATAATTTGTTTTATTACCACATAAATAAGGCACCTGGCTGGGGAAGGGCTCGAGACAGAGAAATTAGACATTTTTCTAAGAATTGAAATGAGGGTAGAATTACCTAGAATGTTGGACCAAGAGTAAACTTTCTGCCCATCTAGTAATGCAGCCACTTCACTACTAAAAGGAGATGCAGCCACATGCTACTAAGCTCCTGAGTTTCCAGGAATTTAAAATACAAAACAACCCAGTTTTTTTTCCTCTAAAAGCCTAGTCTCTTTTAAACTGTGCATGCTAAGAAAATTGTTTAGAGATCCTGAATTCAGTGCGTTAGTTTTAAAGCCAGACATCTTTGACAGGTGATCACGAAGTAACTGAGCAGTTACTGTGCTCTGCTTACCCACGACTAGCTCTGAATTGACTGAAGGACTGTCATATGGCCACTTGTTTGGGATTCTTATTGGAAATCTTGGAGTTATTATTTCCAATAAAATCTAACAGCCTCCACTCGGTTCACAGCCCCCGTTCTCATTGTTGTGAGATCGCGAGGACTGTTCATGTAGGAATACCATTGTGAGTAGTGGTCTCACATAAACAATTAAAATGACAATTGTTTTGCAGAGTATACAACCAAGGGTTTCACAAAGCCCCGCATTCATCTGATTCTGGAACGAAGCAGAGAGCATTCATTGTCATTGCTCACTCTTGCCCCTTCCTTCCAGAACTTACGCGATTCCCCCACCCCGTCCCTGCACCCATCACACAACGTCACCATTGTGTGCGTGATAGTCTCCCAGGATCCTTCTAATGCAGGTGCAGCCAGCAGAAGTCACAGGAAACAGGAGGACATCAGGTGCGGGCTCTCAGCAGTGAGCCCCAGCGGTACTGTTTGGCGCCATGACACAGGAAGTGACTTCCTCCCTCACCGCACCTGATTGGTTGGTTCAGACAGCCCACCTTCATCACCGATTGGCTCCTGCTCCATTGAGGGTCCAGGGACTGTGAGTACAAGAAAAGCAAATTTTTCCCAAAATCAGTGGAGCTCAAATGATAAATTCAAACCCAGAAACTCATGGGCTCGTCTGTCTCCCGTGATGGCACTCTCATGTTTGCACTTAAGGTTTTCATCCTAGTTTTCCAAAACTTCCGTGGTTTTATTAATGCACTCAATGGACACTTCCTGAAAGTGGGTTGGTTTACAAACGTCCCCAAAAGGTTCCAGGGTCAATGCCCTGCGGAAGAATCAAATCCCTTCATGTCAGAAAATATGATGGCCCTTGATGTAGCTCAGCGGAACAGTGTCTACCTGATAAGTGCAAGGGCCTTCGTTTGATTCTCAATACAAAAACAAATGAACAAAAACTACGAGTTTAGATAACTCTAATACAAAATGGAATAAAGACAAGACCTGCTATTGGAAATGAGGCAGTTGGTTTCATTGCCAAGAGTTTCACACACTCTCTCAAGCTACTCATTTTCACTTATGAAAATGAATATATGGCCCTTAAGAATACAATTTCATGAAAATAATGGAGTAGCATAACGGTAGTATTCTGCAAAAGAGTGAAGGTAAAAGAGAAGCAGGCATTCCATCCCCCTCAAACTGCAGACATTTTCCCCGAAAGTACCTGAATTTTGAAGATAAACATATTTCCAAGCAAAAAAGCGCTAACTGTCCAAGCTGGCTTGACTCTCTCAGCTCCCAGCCTGCTTGACAGCAGAACTACTTCTCTCTGCAGGGAACTCAGCTCAGCACCAAGCCTGTCATTGGCAAGGTTGGGAAAGGAGATGAGATAGGATAAGCAACTTTGGGACCTGGAGACACCCACAGATTTTCAATGGGCACTTCAAAGGATTCAGCCCAGGGGAATCGCAAGATTGCTCGAAAACTTTTTTTTTTTTTTCACTGAAAACATTTTATTGGCCTCTTGCACAGAAACAGGGATTTATTTACCAGGAAGGCTGATCCCATCATACTTCTTCTGGGACTAGCACATGGCCTCCTCTTGCTGATTCTGTGTTTGGCCCCAATGCAGCCTGTCCTGCGCTTCTTGTCTGCGATGCTGAAACCTGGCCTACCCAGCACCACGTAGAAGTCCAGGCCATAGATGCCAATGCTTGGGTCACAGATCAATGTGTTCCTGAATGCCAAAACCAAAGTTTCCAGTATCGGAGAAGTTGTTTTTCCTTAACTCATACTCTCACACCTTTAGACCTTTCTCCAGGATTTCTTCTGCCTTAGCTCCACCGACTGTGCAGCGGACAGCAATCTTTTCATTTCTCCTGATGGCAAAGGATCTGACAGTGTACCTAGCTTCAGAAAATACCAGAGTCTGGTCTGTGAGTTGCTCCCATACCTTGGCTGCCCTGGTCAGTCTGTCTCTTAAGGCAGAGCTTTGCAGATTCACAGTTCCTGCATGGGGTTCTCCTTTTCACCTTGATCCTGCACCACGGTGGGGAACAGGAAGAGAAAGATTGCTAGAAAACTTAACCACAGGTATTCACTGAGATCTTGCTGCCTGATGTCCCTGCCTTTTCTCTATCCCTATAAAAGGACAGGCTTCTCTTGGGTGGGGGGGTGTGCGGGGAGAAGGTCTTATGGTGCTCTCTGCCTGAACCCAGGCGCAATAAATTCCCTGCCATGTTCTCTTTACCCAAGCCTGGTGGATTCCGCTGGTTATTTATGCCACATTTTGGTGCCAAGGTCCGGGAAGGAAGACAAGCTCTCTCTGTAAGGTTTTAAGCCCTCTCGAAACTCTCCCTCAGCTCAGATCACCTGGCAACATCCTCAGACCACGGTCCCCACAGCTTCTGCAGCTTCTGCTGAGCCAGATCTCGCTGGGATTTCAGATTGGCAAAGCTCCCTGTCCCCAATCTCCGTGTCTCCCTCTTTATTATTTTCCCTAACTTTGCCTGCAAGATTCTCTAAATCCAGAAAGCTCCCAGTTTCCCCCATGCTCGTTGCTTCGGATCGCTAAGCTCGCTCCCTTTCTGGGCTTTTCTCTCTCGTTCCTTTGACGTTTTTCCCACCCCACTGGGCAGCCCCGGTTCCCCCTCTCCGCGGAACCCGGTGCTTTCGGCAGTCCGCTGCTGCTCAGGTCCGCGCTCTCCTCTCCGCTCATCGCTTCTCCTTCCTGGCTCCCCAGGTGACTGGCGATCGCGGGGTGACGGCCCTGGGCCTCCTACTCCCCCATCGGGGCTCGGCTTTCCCTTAGGCGCTCGATGCAGGCGCTGCTGCTGCTCATCTCACACAGCAGGTGCGGGTGCGACAGTGGCCGCCTCTGCTCCCTGCCGGGAATTCTGCTTCGGCCCACACCTCGCTCTGTACTCAGCAAACGAACAAGCAAAATCCGGCCCTCTCCCGGTCGGTGCTTGCTGCCTGCTGCGCAGTCTCAAACTCCATCTCTCTCTCCTAGTCTGAAACGCAAATGCCTCTGGGAGACCAGAACACAATACTTCATTTTCCATAACAAATGTTTACCGAGAGTCTGTGCAACCTGCCTCTTATCCGGCCCACAACAGGACTTGCACACACAGGTCTAGCGCCCAGCGGAGCCTGCCTCAACTCCCCAGGCCGAGCCCTCGGCCTCCTGCCGCCACCAGCTCCCCGCTTGGGCCCAGCCGCCCGCCCGCCCCGAGCGCCTACCGCAGGCCCCTTCGGTGAGAACGTCAGGACTCCAGCTCTCTGCTGTGCTCTTTTCTTGGCGTTTGTAGCCTGCAAAACATTTCATTCTCTGTTCAACAAAACGTTGTAAGCTGTCTCCTTTTTACGAAAACCAAAAATTTCCTACTGTACTCACCATTCAAGTTCACATATTTGGCTTGCAGAGGGGAGAATGAAGTAGAAAGAGAAAATTGTTTGAAGCAGAGACTCCTGCCACACAGACCTCAGGAATCTGGGTCTCAGGTGCACTTTTTTCTTGCAAGATTCTGCCACCCACTAGGACCTGCTTCTGGCTTACTAGTTCTTGAAACTTTCAGAACTAAAAACCTCTCCAAGATTGTCTGTTCTGTCTTTTTTAAACACTGAACTGCAGTATTACATGTGATTTTCATTAAGCAAGTGAATTTAATTACTGGTCCTTTTTCCTTCTCTGTGGATCTTCTCTACAGATACTTGTAGCTCTATTTTTTTTTTCAGGATTTCCTTTATTTCTGAAGAACTTTCCTGCACTGATTGTTGATACCCCCTCCTCTATAGAAAGTTCCTCAGCTCTCATCCTCTCTTGCTCAGTCAGAAGTTGCTAGAGTTCCTCTGCAGACGGTTCCTCCAAGTCTTCCTCCACCGTCCCTCAGCATTACCTAGGTTTACATGCAAGCCTGTGCACTCTGCAGACCGACAGGACCGTCACCCATGGGCTTGATGGAAAGTTCCAGCTCCTCTACACAGAACTCAAAGTTTCTGTCCTGTATAATTTGAAGACGAAATCAAACACAAGGCATGCACATTATAAGAAATAATAAAAGTAAAGCAGAAGTGAATGCAATTGAGACAAAGAAAACAATACAAAGAATGAGTCAGAGTTGGTCCTTTACAAGATGAAATAAAATTGAAAAACACCTAGCTATCTCATCAAAAAGAAGAAAAGATTCAAATTCAAGCATGTAGGCATCTTAAATAATATTTCTCCACTAATTTACTCAGCCACAAGGAAGAGTAAAATTAAAAAGGGAACTGTGTAAATTTATCTCAAAAATTTATAAAGTAGAACACAATCAATCATAAATTAGTAAATTTCCTCTTTTTAGTAAACGGTTACTTTTCCTTTGTACTATTATTCACCTTTTTATGTAAAAACAATAATAGGTACCAAAGGCAATGGCCTTGTCAGTAACAGGGAACAGATAAAAGACATTTTCCTCATGTCATGCAATAAACATAATTTTCCCCCAAATAATTCCACTATTCACGAAAATTCCTTTGTCAGTGTTGCTTCTGACAAACCACACCATCATTTGTACTTTTGGAGAGATTTATTACTTGAAATAGTTAACTGAGGGTGAGAATTTGAGTAAGAAATGCCCACATAAATTGAAAGGACATATCCTGAGTAGAAGACCCACAATAAGGAGGACCGTTATCAGAAAGGGATAAAGGAGGGCCAGGGATTTAGCTCAGCGGAGTAAGTGCCACTGGCAAGCACTAGGTCATGAGTTCAATCCCCAGTACCAAAAAAAAAAAAAAAAAAAAAAAAAAAAAAGAGGGAAATAAAAGAGAAACCAAAATGAAAAGGAAAACTTGCTTCTTTTTCTTCAGCAGAACTGCAGTTTTCACCTTCACCTTGGAGGTTGTCTCCTGGCTTCCCGTGTAGTTTCTGAATCCTCCAGCACAGAGCATTCTGCCTCCTGATATGAACTTGGAAGGACTACAGTGTGTGCCCTGGGCATTTCACAGGGAGACTCAGATCTCGAGCAAATGGACACACCTTTTGCACTCTTCCACATCTGACTGTGTGAGTGGCCACTGTATGGCAGTCTTTTTTTTTTTTTTTTTTTTTTTTTGTCTTTTTCCTTTTTATCGGTACCAGGGATCGAACTCACGACTGCCTGCTTGCAAGGCAGGCGCTTATGCCGCTGAGCTAAATCCCCAGCCCCCTGTATGGCAGTCTTTTAAATCTATGTGTGTATCTTCCATTAAATCTGGCTCTCATAAATTTGGCTGACTGACCCAAATTTTAGTACTGGGAATCACTCTCAAGGACAATTACAAAGATGAAATTCTTTAATGGCAGAAAAAATTTCTGAAGTTGGCTCTCCCAATTGATGAGACTTTAAAGATGCCATGGTCTCTCTGTCAAGTACTTTGGAGAATACGAATAGTCCTTGCTGGGAACTGTTTAAAATAACACACAATGTGGATCTAATCGATTGTCCTGATTTGCCACTTATGAAATGGAAAGAATTTATTGACTATATGAAATTTTTTAGTAGTATCGGCAGAGAGGAAAGCATAATGATGATTGTTGGTTGCTCATAGCATCTTTGGCAAACTAATGAAAGGAAACATTTAGCTCAACCAATTTGGAAGCAATCCAATGCTTCTAAGTGTAAGGATAAATAAATAAAGGAATTTATTTTTTTTTTATCGGTACCCGGGATCGAACTCACGACCGCCTGCTTGCAAGGCAGGTTCTTATGCCACTGAGCTAAATCTCCAGCCCCTAATAAAGGAAAATTAAGAACTCTAAGATTCAAATTCCTAGCTGAAAACAAACACAAAAACTTAAAATTTTCAAAGTGTGTCCTGAAAAGTAATCTCCTCTCCTTTAGCCACTTGGACAAGATTGCAAAATCTCAAACACTGGCCAGCATAGTCTGAATAGCCAAAAAGCTGAGTTAATGCTCAGCCTCAACAAGAATCGGAAGTAAAAGTGAAAGTTCTGATCCGAACACAGTGGGACCCCATATACTGGAATAGGAACATTTAGGGGAGCCCTGATGCGACTGAGGGCATTGAGCATCTAAATTCTCATGAGACTGATTTTCCAGAGGAAGAGATTTCCATATTCTAAATTTGGAGTCATGAACATCCCCATGCCTGTGGAGTTAGCTTCTGCCAGTATACCAGATAAAACTGATTCTTTGTTAAACAAGCATGATAATCCAGATACCATTTGGGTGTCACATTCACCATGCACAATTGCCCCAATGCCCACAGCCAGATTTGAATTGAAGGACACTTTTTAAAGTGTGACATACATAGTATGACCAATGAGGAGATCCCATAGTCTCCCAAAGAACTTCTTGAATTTTCTGATAATTAAAAGCTTTATGAGCATCATGGGAAATGATTTTATGTGTGGGATAATGGAGTGAAAATGATACACTTGGATCAAGCTGAACTTGTTGATATGGGCCTATTAAGCAGTGATTCTGAATTTGATGTTGCAGTTCATGTAGTAAAGAAAGATTTAATTTATATTTCACTGTTTGGCAGAAGTATACATTGAAGTGGGGCCCACTGTGAATGACAGAGGGGCCTTACATTTTGCACTTTAATATTAATGAGGGTATCTAGAGGTCTAGGGCATTGAAAATGCTAAAAGGGATCTTTCATGTCTATGCTAATCTGACACACCAGAATGCTTCAGAGAAATGTTCCTGACACTAAAACCCTGAGAACTGGATTCATAAGAGGAGCACTACTTCCCTGAAGAGCCATGCCACAGCTTTGCTCTCTGTGCCGGACCTTAGGGTGTAAACCGAAGATAGGCAACAGGGAAAACTGAGGGCAAGGAGTTTGGTTGATCCTAAAGTGGGAACAGTGAAATGACAACACAAAATTGCCAAAAGCAAAGTGCAGGCACTTATGAAAATGTAGAGCAGAAAAAGAACTGTGATCAGAATCACCTGGCACCTGTCGACCTATGGTATTGCTGAATATCCATCATGTTCCCAAAAGTAAAGTAGATGGGAAGCCCACAAAAATTTTAGATGTATTAGATTAAATGTTAGGGTAAGTGAACAGAAACTTACCTCAGATCAAAGCAAGCAGGAATCATTCCCCCTAAACCAATTCCCAGGTACGAGGCATTTGCAGGCCCAGAAACCCATGAATGAAGGGGTAAGCAGGTCCCCTTGAAAAAGGACCAGTGTACCACAAAAAAATTGATTTGGTCACTCTTTCTCCCATAATTCCTCAACAGAAGCTAAGTCTTTTAATAAAATACATGTAAATTGAGGACTGTGGCAGCTGGGGAACATGGATAGATACTCTTTCTGAACCACCACTGTTTCCCCAAGATTCACAATATCATTTTGTTCCTCCAGTAAAAGTAGGGGACCATGGAGTTCAGGTAGTCAATGGAATTTCAGCAAATGTCCAATTCACTGTATGTCCCATATCCCCTCAAATTCATCATGTAATTTCTCCTGTTCAGAATACACAATTGAGATAGATTCTTAGTGTTTGGTAGAACACGCATGATGGATCTTTAAACTATATTGTAGTGTGAGAAAAATGGCGATATACAATTGTATACTGATTCTTCAGGTATACCCACTGGGTAGTTGAGTATTCAGAAACATAAAGGAGCATAAGTGGAAATTTGTTGGTAAAGCTCTTGGAGGACGAAGGATGTGGATAAATCTCCCATATAATTGCTCACCAAAATGTGAGCTCAGTAGAAGAGGATTTTAACAATCAAGTGGATAAGCCAATCCATTCTGTAGACAGGAATCCACTTCTCTCTCTTCAGTCAGCCCATTAAATGTCCCATGGGCTCATGAACAGAGTGGGTGTGTCAGCAGAAAGGAGACCATGCATGCTCAGTGACACTCCCATTCAATGAGCTATTGTGGCTAGTCAGTGGTGTAGGCCCCATAAGCCAGCAGCACAACCAACACTGTTTCCCCAATATAGCATCATCCCTGGGGGTGATCAGTCCTAGTGGCCTGATGGCCATCTGATTATATTGGACTGCTTCCACATGGATGGGTTGCTTGGAGCTTACTGAAATACTTTTTATGAACATGCATTTACCTTTTTTATGTCATGTTTCTGGCAGAACTCTCATCCATGGATTCAAGTAATGCCTGCTCCACATAATAGAATTCTACACTGCACTGGCTTTGACTAAAATAAACACATTTGATGCCCACAGAAGTCTCATGCTCATGGAACTCAGGAGTCTTACCATGGTTTTCACCATCTAGAAGCAGCTGGATTGATACGAATTTGGAACAAACTTTTGGAAGTCACACTTGCTGCAATATTTAGGCAGAAATAGCTTTCAGAGTTGGGGTTCTTAAAAAATGCTGTTTGTGCTAAGTCAGCATATGTACTACACGGTACTGTGTTTCTAATAGACAGGAGCCATAGTTCCACGAATCAGGGAGTGGAAGTGTTAACCATAGTGGTCTATTGGCAAATATTTGCACTCTGTCTTCATGGCTTTATGTTCTGCTGGCTTAGAAAAAGTTTTCGTTCCAGAGTGGGTAAGGTTTGTCCACCAAGCACAGTGATAGCTCCAAACAGGAAGGGAAGATTTTCTTCCGGTCATTTTGGTCTCATGACTGTGACAAAAGAAACTAAAAAGGGAATTACAATGTTTAGAGAGCTGACTGACCCAGACTGGAAAAACTAGACTACACCACAATGGAGAAAAGAAAAAATGTACTTACAGTACAGGAGAATCTTAGGGTGTCTTCCAGTTTAAAATGAGACTTAATATTGGTTATGAAATGTTAGGAGTAAGCATCATGCAAAACCTGCTCTTCCATTCTGGCAGAGGGATACAGGTCAGTTATAACATGCCAGGTATATTTATGAACTTGTCTTTGCATCAGGAAACAATTGTTTTAAAACCTGTATGTAGTTGGGAAGTTGTCAAAGGTAGATGGTAACAGTTAACTGATTGTCAAGCTGAGTGCTACATGCCCAACTAAATTTGTCCTATAAATTATGGATGGGGAAGACCTACCCAAGAAAGGATTTTTGCCAGAATGTGATTTTAAAAAAAAAAGAGACAAAGGGCCAGGGATATAGCTGAGTGGTTCAGTGCCTACCTGGTAGGCGCAAGGTCATGAGTTCAATTCTTGATACAAAAAAAAAAAAAAAAGGAAGCCTTGCGTGTATTTCTATGGCAGAACCCCACTGTGCACTGTCACACTGGGAGGAATCTCTAGCTTCCAGCGCTGAATCTTTAGCCTCCAGCTCAGACCATTCAGTCTTCTGGCACAGACCCTTTGGTCAGCTGAAACAGACTTGCACTGGACACTACAGTGGGCTCCACAATGTAAACTGGGTATTTTTTGGATATCCAGTGCACAGAGATTTGCACCCTTCCAAATTTGTGTGTGTAGGCAGTGACTGTAAGGCAATCTTTTTTTTTTTTTTAAGGCAATCTTGTAAGTGCTTATACATTTATGTATCTCATGTTAAAATAGTTTCGCTAGTAAGCATTGACCAAAGCAGTATTACAGTTCATTATATCCTTTATTAGTCAAGGCACGGTCTATCTGATGTGTCACAAACAGAATCTCGCAGCAGGATGGTTTCTATTGTTATAAATTGTGGTAAAATTTAGCACCATATTAAGTCTTAATATAACCATGAAAAGTAAAATGTTGATGTTAAGAAAACAAAATTTTATGTAAATCATAGTACTGATTTCAACATGAAAGTAAAAACAGCAAATTTATATACTTCATATAAATATGTTTGGATATATGCATGTGTCTAGATAGGACATAAAAACCAAGATTTGCTAATCAACAAGTTAAGTGTAAACAAATGAACTTTTAAAAAATACATGTTTACATGTCTCTAAATATGCATGTTTACATACATATAACATCAAAGTCAAGGTTATTATTTGTATACAGAATAGGAGATGTATATACCAAGAAAATTTCAGAGCTAGTGGGACATCCCAGTTAAAAACTATTAATAATTAATAAAACTTATTTTTCAGCACTCTATAACTCCCCATAGTAAAAAAAATAAATAAATAAAACTACATAAATAGTAACACTACTTGTAAGTAAGAAGTACATTTAAATTCAATTTGCTATTTTAGCAGATACTATGTATTAGGTTTAAAGACAATGGCTTACAAAAATGTCAGCATTTTCTAGTAAACACTACAGATAATTCAGTTATTTATAAGTTATTTACTAAAAACCAAGGAATGCATTCTAGATCACGTCTGCACATTAATTTATGGATAACCCATGAATATTGACATCAAATTTTTCATTTACACATGTGTGTAAGTATCATTCATTGAATGATTCTTCCACATTGTTTATACACATAGGGTTCATTCCCAGTGTCAGATCTCTGTACACAAAACAAATACTTACAGGCAAATCTTTTTTCACATGGCCCACTTAACATGTTTTCTTGTTTGTGTGAGTTCTTTCATGTCTTTGATATGACTGCTGTGTAGTGAATGCCTTCCCACACTGCTGGCACACATAAGGATTATCCCCAGTGTGGCTACTTTCATGTCTTTTATAATAACTCTTTGTAGCAAATGCTTTTCCACAGTGCTTACACACATAAGGTTTCTCCCCAGTGTGTGTTCTTTCATGTCTCTTACAACTAACCTTTATACTGTATGCTTTTCCACATTGCTTGCACACATAAGGTTTTTCCCCAGTGTGTGTTCTTTCATGTCCTTGACAAGATCGGTGTGTAGTGAATGCCTTCCCACAGTGCATACACACATAAGGTTTTTCCCCAGTGTGAGTTCTTTCATGTATTTGACAAGATTGATGTTTAATGAATGCCTTCCCACAGTGTTTGCATGCATAAAGTTTCTCCCCTGTGTGAATTTTTTCATGTAGTTTATGGTAACACTTTGTAGTGAATGCCTTCCCACATCGCTGGCACACATAAGGTTTCTCCCCAGTGTGAATTCTCTCATGTATTTGACAAGTTTCATGCACTGTGAAAGCCTTTCCGCAGTGCTTGCACACATATGGCTTCTCCCCACTGTGAGATCTTTCATGTCTTTTATAATTACTCCTCATGTTGAATGCTTTTCCACATTGCTTGCACACGTAAGGTTTCTCCCCAGTGTGACTTCTTTCATGTCTCCTACAACTAATCTTTATGCTGTATGCTTTTCCACATTGCTTACATACGTAAGATTTCTCACCAGTGTGAGTTCTTTCATGCATTTGACAATATTGGTGTGTTGTGAATGCCTTCCCGCAGTGCTTGCACAAATAGGGTTTCTCCCCTGTGTGAACATTTTCATGCAGTTTATAATACTTTGTGGTAAATGCTTTACCACACTGCTTACACACATGATGCTTCCCTGCACTATGAGTTCTTTCATGTATTTGACAATAATCCTGTCCCACAAAAGCTTTCCCACATTGTTTACATACGTATGGTTTCTTCCCTTCATGAGTACTTTCATGGCTTTGACACTGACTGTATTGGCTGAATGATTTCCCACACTGCTTACATATGTAGAGTTCCATCCCAGTGTCAACATTCTCATGTCTCTGACAGCAGCTGTGTGTATATGCTTTTCCACACTGCTTACATATAGAGGGTTTCTCCTCCATGTTAATCCTTTCAGGAATTTTACTACTTTCAGTATTGAAGATTTCACCATATTGCTCGCACACATTCCCAGTGTGAATTTCTTCATGGATTTGAAAACCACTTTCAGTGCTGGAAGTTTTCACACTTTTCTGACCAACAATAATCTCTCCAGGGTGACTTCTTTCACTAAGTGCAGTGTAGAATGTCCCATATTGCTCAGATTGATAAGATTTCTCACCATTTTCTCCCCTTGTATGCTCCTGAAAGGCCTGGAAATCACTGCAGGTTTGTTCATGTTCATTATATTTACTTAGCTTGTTATCAAATCCCAAATTCTCATGTGGCTTCTCTCCAATGTGATGTAAAATTGGTACATTTAATGCTAAATGTCCAATCAGGAATTCTCCACAAATAAGACTTCCAGCTGGCTTCAAAGCGGCTTGCTGTATGTCTACATAAGCATCTGAAGTCTGAAGGAGTATGTTTTCATGATGACTGCAAGTTTCGTATTGATAGCATTTTGCTTCCTCTTCATTTCTGGAAAGACACAAAATATCAATCACAATAAAACTATCTCTGGGGCTGGGGATTTAGCTCAGCGGCATAAGCACCTACCTTGCAAGTGCATGGTCGTGAGTTCGATCCCCGGTACCGATAAATAAATAAAGAAAGAAAGAAAGAACTAAAAAAAAAAAAACCCACTATCTCCATATTAATAATGTATGAGACAAGTTCTGGCTTCCTGAGGTTTACCAAGAATAAAAAAGCTGAAAGCTCTGGAGGATGTTTCCAAAATGAAATTCCATTCTAAAATCCATTTCCCAAAGATGATATACATTTGTTAATTTTAAATTGATATGTTTACAATACAATCAATTAAATCACTGATTCATGTACATATCACCTATTGATCATTTTGACACCTTTCCCCTAACACTCTCCTTTGCTCACTTCTTAATTTCACACCATAATTTATATTTTAGTATTTCAGATAAAAGAAAAGTTAATAATTCAATATCTTTATTGGAATTACTATATGTAAACATAAGTTGGACTTGCATCTTGTTTTCCCCAGTATGTACCACATTCTTTTTGTGTAGCTGCACATGTAATGTTTTTCAGTGCTGACAATGAAACAAGGGTCTGAGCAATAAAATACATTTCTAATATTTTTATTTCTTACTTTTAGAGAGATTCTCATTGCTCATTTATTTGGTTGAGTGAACCACATGTTTTCAGCCTGCTGGCTCAGCTTAACAGAGTGCTGGGATTATTACAAGCACAACCATACTGAGCCGACCCCATATTCTCCTTTTCCATGCACTCAGTGAAAGACACCTAGGTGTTACCGGAGCTTAGGTGTTGTGCATTATTTCTAGAACTTAGCTGTTGTGAAAATCCATGGATACTCTGCTTTGGGAATTATGTACATATACATCACTAAGATACAATACTTTTAAATCTCTTAGTATATGCACATGGGATTCTGCCTAGAACAAATGCAAACTTTTATTTATTTTTACTTTTTGATACAACTGTATATTGAATATAAAAAATGGTTGCTTTATATTCCTACCAATAACATAAAGAGAATACACTCTAAGAATTTTAAAACATAAATGCACACAATTCTCTGGAGGATGTTTTCAAACATGTCTTAATATACTAGCACTCATGCAATTTGAATATTGCTTCCAGGTTAGCAACTGTTTTTTGATATTGTATATCTCATATTCACATGAATATATATATATAACCCAATAACCTAAAAATGAGTTCCTACCAAAGTTCAAGATTTATTCTTTTCATGTATGCCTATACATGAACCTAAATGCAGTTTCGTACATTTTCATGATTCTGATCATAAAGGAATTTTTTCCTCCAGTGTATGATAATGCCTCTCCTTGCATGTTATTACTTTCATGTACTAGAAATTTCTGTATTCAACTGTCAGATGACACAAAATTAATCTGCATGCATAATGAGAAAATTTTCTGTGAAATTAAATAAATCTGAACATGGTCTGATTTTGTAGTTTCCATGTAATATTTCTGCTCACACAATAACTATTGATAAGTATTGCTTTTCCTCATGCATGCAAATTACCTTAGATTTCTTGAGCAATCTTTGTATTCTTCATCCATTTGCTCATCATCCCAAGTCCTTCCTGAATTACATCCACAGAAAACAGAAAAAGTCATCATATCATTATATAAAAATTAGCAGTTAGTAGTTATATTCATGGTATAGTGCTAACAAGACAGATATTGCTCAAAATGTTTTCATATTCTATTTAATGAATCAGTACCAGCAGAAGTAAAAAAGGTCTCTAATTTTCTATATGAGAAGACAATGTTAGGGGCTGAGGATTTAGCTCCACAGCATAAGCACTTCTCTTGCAAGCATGCAGTCATGAGTTTGATCCCCAGTACCAAAAAAAAAAAAAAAAAAGAGAGAGAGAGAGAGAGAGACGATGATGTCATCCTTACCTATAGCATTTATATTCATCACTGTTTCCCACATCACATCTCTGTACAGCTTCCTTTGGGATGGATTTAGCAGAGCCCACTCCTCCTCGGTGAAGTTCACAGTTACATCCTCCATGGTCACCACCTCCTAAAGAATCACATACATATTTCCTGAAAGAAGGTTGAGACTTAGACAGTGGACATCTCTCATAAAAGCCAAATTCCGGATGATCCTTCAATTATAAACTCCATGCCTTTGTCACCAAACCCATGTGTATGTACATAGTTTCACATGCAATTCTGATGCTAGATTACTTCTCTCTGCTAGAGCAACAAAAGATTAGTAGCAGTGGTTTCCTGGTAGGTTCACAGAAATTGTATTTGCACAGTTTCTAATGCAGAACTCAAAAAGGGAGACTACAATCACCATCATCATCCCTGCCCCTGCAAAAAAACCCAATTGAATCAGAAAAATATCTAATGAATACTTTTGATGCATTATACATTATGCATCTTGAAATCTGATTAATCATAGAATTAAGTACATAGGCAACATTTACATATATGAATCTGGATTTTCAAAAAAAAACCTAATTGAAGATTAAATAAAGTATATGCATTTTGTTCCTTGTTTACTTTTTTGGTTTTTCACAACAGAGAAACCACATGATACTTACACATGTATATCCAATTCACTTCACTTCAGAGTGTGCTCTCAAGGTCCAACCATTTAGCTAGAAATGTCTCAAGTTTACCTTTTTCACTATTTTTTTTTTTACCAGGAATTAAACACATAACCCTGCTTCCAGGTAGATGCTGTGCCACAGAGCTGTAATCCTGGCCCTTTTGTCCCTCTTTCACAGAATAGTACATCATTGTACAAAACACCCTCATCTTTATCCATTCAACGGTTGATGGGCATTTGGGCAGTTTTCAAGATTTATCTATTATGGGGCTAGGGATTTAGCTCAGCAGCATAAGCATCTACCTTGCAAAACATTTATCCATTACAAACTGTGAGGGGCTGGGGGTTTAGCTCAGTGGCATAAGCACCTGCCTTGCAAGCAGGCGGTCGTGAGTTCGATCCCCAGTACCGATAAAAATGAAAAAGACAAAAAAAAAAAAAAAAAGAACTACCATTACAAACTGTGTCAGTATTAACATGGGTGTATACATATTACTCTGGTCAGAATCTTTTAATTCTTTTAGGAAGAGATCAAGAAGAGAATAGCTGGGTCAAATGGATCTTCCAACTTTTGTTTTTTTGGGGCTGGGGATTTAGCTCAGCAGCATAAGCGCCTGCCTTGCAAGCAGGCAGTCGTGAGTTCGATCTCCGGTATCGATAAAAAGGAAAAAGACAAAAACAAAACAAACAACAACTTTTGTTTTTTGAAGCATCTGAGAAACAATTGTTCAAATGTGTAGGAAAAAAATGGCAGGATGGGGGGAAGGAAAGGCACAAGAAAAGAAAAATAGAAGGAGAAAAGGGAAACTGTTTTATAAATATAAAGAGGGCAAGGTGGTCTGAACTGCAGGCAGAAGAATGGAAGAAAAAAAGACGCAAGATATACCATGTACTGGTACAAATTCCCAAGATGAATGTTACCACTATTTATATCTTAAATATACCAATAAAAAGGAAAACAAAGAATATTTATGAATAATATTAAAATGCTAACAGAAAAACAATATTCCTGAAGCAAGCCGTATTATCTTACAGCTCAGTGACACCTAATAACCACTTTACACACATACATAAGAATTCCTAGGCTAAGCTGGGCTTGGTGGCTCATGCCTATAATCCCAGCACTCGGGAGAGTGAGGCAGGAGGATCCTTGTGAGTTCGAGACCAGCCTGGGCTACAAAAAGAGCTCAAAGCCAGCCAGAACTGCATAGGGTGAGACCCTGTCTCAAAAAAAGACAAAAAAAAAAAAAAAAAAAAGAAGAATTCCTAGGCTTATCTAAGTGAAATTAATGAAGCAAAGGATATATACAAAATGTATATTAAATACATTAAAAATAAAGATATCACAAAGTCATTAGGCACTAATTACAAAATGAAGTTTGGCCAGGTGTGATGGTACCTGCTTGTAACCCCAGCATTTGGGAGACTGATGCAGGAGGATTTCCATAATCTGATGATTGCCAGACACTGCAAGTCCAGCCCCAAATATGAGGTAACTTCAAGGCCAGTTGAGATTTCAAAGTGAGACCCTGGGTCAGACTATCCCCACAAAAGGAAAACAAAAAAAACGTTGTGTGACTTACAGGTCATTCCTCTGCTCTTTACAATTGTGCAGTATAACAGAAGATTGACAACATTCAAAACCTCATGAACAACATGACAGCTTGCAAACTTTACATCAAACATGTTCATGTTACACCTTTTGTTACAATCTGCAATTAGTAGAGAGAGTGACAAATGAATCTCAGGAAAGAAAGTCAACCTTCTAAGATTCTATTTGTAGACAGAATTCATGATGCAGCTTGTGTTATTTTTAGCCTTGAGAACTTCTTGCTCTTAAGAAAAAGAGACATTAGCCAGGCGTGGTGGCTCACTCCTGTAATTCCAGCACCCCCAGCACTCAGAGGCTGAGGTGGGAGGATCCTTGCGAGTTTGAGACCAGCCTGGGCTTGAAAGTGAGCTCGACGCCAGTCTGAAATACATAGCGAGACCCTGTCTCAAAAAAGACAAAAAAGAAATTGAAAAGAATTCTCTGTGCTTCTATTGTTTGATCAAATTTGTATGCTTATGTCTTGTAATCTGAGCAATTACTCTTAAGATATCAGTACACACCCGGCCTGGAGCCCAAGGCCAAACTGAACTACATAGCGAGACCCCGTCTCAAAAAAGACAAAAAAGAAATTGAAAAGAATTCTCTGTGCTTCTATTGTTTGATCAAATTGGTATGCTTGTGTCTTGTAATCTGAGCAATTACTCTTAAGATATCAGTACACACCCAGCCTGGAGCCCAAAGCCAACCTGAACTACATAGTAAGACCCTGACTCAAAAAGACCAAAAAAAAAAAAAAAAGATATCGTGGGGGGCATGATGGTGGTACACTCTTGTAATCCTAGCACTCCAGGAGACTGAAACAGGCGGACTGTTGCCAAATTCGAGACCAGCCTGGGCTACAAAGTGAGCTCAAGACCAGCCTAAACCTCACAGTGAGACTCTTGTCTCAAAAAGACAAAAAAAAAAAAAAAAGTTGGGGGGAGGCGAGGATTTAGCTCAGCAGCATAAGTGCCTGCCTGGCAAGCACAAGGTCATGAGTTCAATCCCTGGTACAAAAAAAAAAAAAAAGACATCAATATGCAATATATATTTATTCTTTTTTTTTGGTGGTACCGAGGATCAAGCTCACGACCTCACACCTGCCAGGCAGGCCCTTATGCCACTGAGCTAAATCCCCAGCCCAATATGCAATATATTAACCATTGTTAATTTCCTAGCATCCTGTTTTGATTTTCTGTATCATTGGTTATACTGAGATTTTTCTTCTCCTTAAAATTAAATAAAGAATAGAACGTATTCCCAGTATATTTTATGTTCAGGGAGAAACATATGTATTTGGAAATCTAGATGGTATATTCTTCTATTTTATGTACATAAATAACATATTGAAAAGGGAAACAAATACTTTAGGATTTTATAGTAAAATAACTTTGAAACTAAAAAATTTCCTGTGTGTGTAATAAAAACATTTTGTTGTAAGAGCATAAAGACCAATGAGCACAAAGCTCTCAAATATATAAAACTCATCTGACTCAAGAGAAACACTGAATATAAAACAAAACCAAGACTTGGGAAAATGAAGAAAACTGAGGTGCGGAAGAATAGCTCATGCAAGGGGAGAACCAGCTGGTAACACTCCACACTCATCTCCTTTCCTGTCAAGTTTGACAAAAATCAACTTAACAGTGATTAACAGAGGACACAGTATGCTATTATTCTTGCAGATATGATTACTGTCACCTTGAAAAATATTAAAACTCATAACCAATAGAATAATAAGAACATACTTTTTCCTATGACTCAGAACTCTGCATTTGTGAATAGTGAGACACAAAAATTTCCAAATTATGTCACTGTGCAACTTCTATAATACTTACTGGAAATTACATGGAAAGGAATTAAAACAACACCATGGAACTCATGGAAAATCACACATGGTAAACTGAGGAAAAGTTGCCCAACAATGAGCCTGGTCAACATTAAGGCAAGAAAAGTTTGAGTCACGTAGGGAGTTTCTCATATGTATATTCTCATCCATCCACTGCACAATGCCCAAAGATGACGTTTTAATTCACCTAAGGATATTTATATTATCATTAAATCTCATCACAAAGTTTTGAAAATAAATTTGATATAAAATATTTAAAAAGCAAATCACCAGTAACAACGTTCATGGTCACTTATATGTTTGTTTGCCACTATACATGAACAATTGTACAGAGGCTGAATTTTTTATGATCTGCACAAGTATTTTTTTTTTTCTTTTTCCTTGTTATTGGTACTAGGGATCGAACTCACGACTGCCTGCTTGCAAGGCAGGCGCTTATGCCGCTGAGCTAAACCTCCAGCCCCGCACAAGTATTTTTTTATTCCAGTAAAATACTAGTTCATTGTCACTTCTAGAAAAATTCAATACTTGTATTTTTAAACACATGATAGATAATAAGTAACAGAAACCAATTTGAAATAACACAAGTCCAGATGAAGCAGAGTAGGGGCATGAAGTGTCTAGAATATGAACTTCCCAACAATGCTATGTCCCTGGGCCCTCCTAGACAAACTCAAGTAACTGTAATGATCATAACTGTAATGGTGTTTTAACCTCAATTAGTTCATTCCAATTCCAAATATTGAAACCATGTAAGATTTTGCTTTCTCAGATTTTTAAGGGCCAAAGTGCGTGCAAAAGTGAATGCTAAAAAAAAAAAAAAGTGAATGTTTAAGGCCAATTCATGGGTAGTTAAATGACATCAGGGAAACATAGTAGAGGTAAATCCAATGGATTTTCTCACCTCCATCATGACCCTATGGATTGTTACACTACTTACAACAAATGTAAAACGAACAATTATATCTAAATATCTCTTAGCTTCTTCACATGTAATCAATGCTATATTCACATTTAAACTAAGAAAACCACAATCTTATGATGAAATCTTGGAAGGCAATTCTTAAATCCTTGAGATAACTTATATTTTAAACAAGCAACTTGCTGCAAAGAAAAAATGGAAGAGAAGCTATTTAGGGAAGAACCCTCCTACAATGCCCTTCACAAGGGCACCCACAATCAGAAGGTTAAACATCTTTTCAAAGTCACACAAAATTCCCAGTGAGTCTGCAGTTCAGGGTAGCTCAATCAAGATGGCAACACTGGGAAACATGAAAAGTCAGGAAACTGAAGTTGGGACTTTTATCACATATACTGATCCATCTTCACAGGATGAAACTGCTCTCTTGTCCAGGGTCTCAATACTGAACAAAGTCAAGCACCCACAATCAACTGAAGCTTGATCTTTGACTTTCCCCAACTTTTCTTTTGAAATCAAGTGTGTATCATTTACTAAACATTAACTGAATCTACAAGAAAAAAATAATGTTCCCAAAATTACTGTACCATCGAAAACATTGAGAAAGTCAGAGTACAGACCTAGCGCACTGCTTCAACTGAAGACTGCTGTCTAAGGCATATGGCGTTTTTCATTATAAGTCATCGTTCTCAAGTTTTGAAAATGTCACACTGAGTCACATGATTAATAGAAATGAATATATTTCCTCAAAGTAGCTTATGGTAAAATGAGAAGGGCTTTGTAAGGTGAAGAAAATTATGGTAGTCATTGAAAAGAACAGTTTGTGCTTCTATGGTTTGATCAACTTTGCACACCAATGTGTTTAATCTGAGCAACTACTTTGAAGATAACCAGACACAGCATATAATCATTGTGAATTTATTATCTGTGGAACTTTGTATCATTGGTGGTTTGTTTTTTTTTTTTTTTTTTTTTTTTTGGTACCAGGGATTGAACTCAAGACCGTGTGCTTACAAGGCAGGCACTTTATGCCACTGAGCTAAATCCCAGTCCCTGTATCGTTGGTTTTATTGGGTTTTTTTTTCCTCTTTAAAATTAAAAAAAAAAAAAAAAGAAAGAAAGAAAGAAAGAAAGAAAATGAGCCAGAATAAGTCTTTTTCCAGAAAAAAGTTAGTAGATTTAAATGGCATAAATAAATAAATTCCATGATTTAGGGAAATACATGTTTCTGTGCTTGTGTTAACTATCAGATGTACATTAGCCTCCAAAATTACTACTTAGGTTGACACTCATGATATTATCCCAAATTCTTTTGAGTTTATATAGCTTAACAGAGGGCTAACTTAAATCAGGTGGTAAAAGTGAAGCAGGCTTTAAAGTTGCTGATATCTTTCCTTTGAAATTCTTAGCCAATCCAATGAAGTCAAAATGGATTTTATAAATACAATGTGTAGGCCAGACATGGTGGCACACACCTGTAATCAGCCCTCAGGAGGCAGAGGCAGGAGGATCACTAAGAGTTCAAGGCCAACCTAGGCTACACAATGTGTTAAAGTCACACCTGAACTATAGAGTGAGATACTGTTTCAAAAATCCAAATTAAATTAAGCCAAACCAAATCAACCAAAAAACAAAAATCGAAAACAAAGATTCTCAACTCCAAGATGTTATCAGTATCACCACGTTTACAAGAACATAAATGAAGGCCTCACTTTTTCTGCCTCTGGAGTCTATTTTGTGTCTAATAAATAATTTCATTTTTTTTGCCATCAGTGCCTTTACAGGGAAATCCTATGCCTATCTGTAACCTGTGACAGAGACAAATGCGATCCATTGTGGTGTCAAAATGACCTCATGTACGAGCCAAAATAAAAATTTAGAATTTAAATGGTGGTCAAGGAATCCTTCAACTAGCATATCAAAATGCCACTGATGATTCTCACAGTCCTAACAACACTCAACAATTTAAATATTGCTAAAATGATTAAGACTTACCAAAACGTAGGGATGGAAAAGAGCCCAAGTTCTTTCTGCAGCTAAACAGTTTCAGAAATTTTGTAATTGTGGCAAGAAGAGACATTGTGAAAAGGATTATAAAAATAATCAACAAGGTAAAAAGATTAAAGCAAAGCAAAAAATGTCCTAACTGTAAATAGTGTATCACTGGGCCAATCAGTGCCATGACAAAGTTGGTAATTTATAACTATTCGTGATAAAATATACAGGCCAATCTAACATGACACATCCAGTCAACAGGTAGAAATACTTTCTTAAAACTTATGTGTAGTTGGGGTCAAGGGTGATGTACAACTGTAATCCTAGCACTTAGAAGTCTGAGGCAAGAGGACAGCTC